GCCACCGGCGTTTCTCCAGTTTCTCCTGAAGAGACTACTGCCACTGGTGTCTCCCCGGTTAGCCCCGAAGAGACCACCGGCGCGACCGGCGTCTCCCCCGTCACTCCTGAAGAGACCACTGCCACCGGCGTTTCTCCCGTTACACCCGGCGAGACCACTGGCGCGACTGGCGTCTCCCCCGTCACTCCCGAAGAAACCACCGGTGTCTCTCCCGTTACCCCCGGCGAGACCACTGGCGCAACGGGCGTCTCCCCAGCCTTCACTGGCGCCGCCTCCTCCAACATGCAGCCCGCGGCTGGCTTCCTGGCGGCCGTCATGGGTGTCATGGCTCTCCTCTAAATTGGCTCAGTCCGGTATGAGTGATCTAACGATCAAGCTACACTTGATCGCGATGTTCACCCAACTAAGATAACCCCATATTATCTCCGGTGTTACGGTACGGTACGGTCCCATTTAGAAAAATTTGGCTTTTATTACTGTTTTGTCTATTACTTTACTTTTCTTGATCTCGTTTCGTGATTTCCTCCTTTGGGCTCCTTGCTTGTCAAGTTCCTAACGCATACCTGTGCCAATGTGTATATCCTTACATTGTTTGGTCTGGAATGTTTCCAAGGGCTTTTGGTGAGGAGTCATGTATTTGGCTTTTGTGTCAGATAATGATGCTCTAATACATAATAATGCATAATTTGTACTTGTGGACAGAAGATCGAGATATATTTAGATAGACGTCGTCGTCCGTATTGCTCTGTGGGTCGTGTGGTTGATGTCGTATCGGTCCCGGCGGGTTACGTTGCCCGGAATAGTAACAGTATGTAGCATGAGTCGTCGGTTGTAGTCAATGACACTTAGATGGATGGTCATGTGTCGTGATTTTCTCACATCCCTAAGTACGTACCCTCCTTCGCTTCCGGGATTAAGCCAATCCACAAGCCAAAAGTATCTTGCAACATAGAACGGGGTTGAACGGTTGACGTTTTGTACTGCCGCAACATCATCAGTTTCATTATCCGTATCTACGTTCATCTCTCCTAATTCTGGAATATCTAGTATAACCATCTCAGGATTGAAACATCTATCTTGATTGTATGGTATGATATAATATGATCTATGGGAAGAGCCAAAGATGCACAGGATGTAAGATATAAGTAAAGGGAGAAAGAAACATGGAGATCGTGAGATATCATCGACGTAGCTTGGCTTTTTGGTCAAACAGACATTGCAAAAGGAAGACGATAACTAAATGTGATATGCAGGTTATATGATTAAGTGCCTACCGCTTTCCCTCCAACTCCTGCTCGACCTCAGCCTTGACGATCTCGCGCACCTGCTCCCAGCCAGCACCGGGGCCGACGGCAGTGACGCGGCTTTCGCGGTCCTCCAGGCCGATGAACTCCTGGGGCAGGACTTCAGTAAAGTCATAGCCGTCTTGGCCGCGGAGGGCCAGGTCGACGGCGCTGGCGAACTTGGCCGGGTGGGCCGTGGACAAGGAGATGTGGCTAACGCCAGAGTTACGCTCGATGGAGCGCAGGGATGCGGCGACACCAATGGCGGAGTGAGGGTCCAGGATGTAACCGCCCGTCTTGGAGCTCTTGGCACTGCCAGGGCCCAGGTTGGACGGGAAGCAGGACTGGTAGGTGGAGCGGATCTGAGCGATGGTCTCGTCGTTGCTGACGCGCTCGCTCTCGAACTCGGCCTGAGCGGCCTGGAAGAGGGCAGGGGGCACGCTGAAGCCACCCTCGGTCTTGAGCTGGTTGAGCCAGTTGCTGACGTTGTCGCAAGCCTGCTTGCGACGCTCGTCGGCCGTGCTGGCCTCGCTGGTCTGGTATGCCAGGAACCAGAGGAGACGCTCGAAGTTGCTGCTGACCAGGATGTCCATGGCAGGGCTGTGAGTCTCCTTGACGCCGGCACCCTTGCTGTCGCTCTTGCTGTAGGTACCGCCGGTGCGGAAGAAACGGTCCAGGATGTCGTTCTCGTTGGTGGCGATGACGAGCTTCTCGGCGGGGAGACCCATGCGCTTGGCGAACCAACCGGCCAGGATGTCGCCGAAGTTACCGGAGGGAACGACAAATCTCATCTTGTTGTTGTAGCCGGGGGTCTTGGTCAGGGCGAGGTAGGAGTAGAAGTAGTAGGTGATCTGAGCCAGGATACGGGCGAAGTTGATGCTGTTGATGGCGGCGAGGTTGTGGGTGGAATTCATGTCGGGATCGGCGAACAGGGCCTTGACGAAGTCCTGGCAGTCATCGAAGGTACCCTCGACGGTGAGGTTGTGAACGTTGGCATCAAGGATGGTGGTCATCTGAGCCTGCTGGATGGGCGAAACCTTGCCCTTGGGGAACAGGATGAAGACGGAGACATCCTTCTTGCCACGGAGGCCGTAAATGGCAGCAGACCCAGTGTCACCACTTGTCGCACCGACAACGGTAAGGTGGTGTCTGTCCTTGCCCTCCTTGCCCTGGTTCTTGCGCACCAGGAAGTATTCGAACAGGTTTCCGAGACTGATTGAAACCGAGGTCAGCACCAGATGTCCTCCTCACACATGCGCAGTTTCCAGTAAACCTACTTTTGCAGGGCGACGTCCTTGAAGGCAAAGGTCGGACCGTGGAAGAGTTCGAGGAGGTAAAGGTTGCGCTTGGCGTCAAGTTCAACGATGGGAGTGCGTTCGGGGTGGCGGAAGGTAGCATAGGAGCGCTTGATGATATCCTTCAGATCTTCACTGGGGATCTCGGACTCGGAGATGTAGAGGGACATGATACGGAAGGCCAATTCCTCGAAGCTGAGATCGCGCCATTCCGACTCCCAGCCGGCGGGGAGGGTAGGGATCTCCTCGGGGATGAAGAGACCACCATCGGAGGCGAGACCCTTCAGGACGACCTCCTCGAAGGAAAGCTATTGTTGGAGATAGTCAGTTAGCAATTGACTCCGCTGGGAGGAGAGGATTTATAGGCGACGAGATATGATCTGGGCGGGAGATGTCACTTACGCCGTAGGAGCCACCGCGGGTGCTCAGGAATCTTTGAGAGAGAGTAGGCGACATTGTGAATAGAAATTAATGAGGCAATAGTAAGTAAGGACCAAAGGAGAGAAGGAGAAAGAGTGATAAAGATGTCTGAGTCAAAGAGGCAATTCGGAAAGATCCCCGCGGCGAAGGCCGAGGGGAAAAATCCACTTTGGGTTTAGCGCCTCCGACTGCGGCGCCCCTCGCAACCACGTGCCCGCCACCTGCCTGTTTCGGTCAACGAAAATGGTATCATTTTAGTCTCTATCTCTATCTCTATCTATCTCTGTGCAACATCGCTGTCCTCTTCTCCAACTAAACTCCAACAACTCCATACTTCGTAAATCATCACCATCATCACATCACTGCTCATTTACCAGCACATAACGGTACCGCGCCTTACCCGCGTGCATGTCCACAATGGCCTGATTGGCGTCCTTCATCGGGATTTCTTCAATCCACGCCTTGACTCCCTTCTCGGCAACGAGCTGGAACATCTCACGGATCTCGTTGGGGCTGCCGATAAAGGAGCTGGTGGCCTTTAGACGACGCTGCAGCTTGCCGACAGGGGCCAGGAGAACACCGTCATCAGGAAGTCCGACCTGGACCAGGGCACCGCCCGTCGCGAGCAGGCCCAGGTACTCGGTCATGGGCATCTATATCCCCATTAGTACCCGAAGCCCCCAAATTTATGCGTATAATGGGGTAAACATACCTTGGTCGAAGAAACAGTGCAGACAATCAGATCCAGAGACCGGGCATATTTGGTAGCCCAGTCCGGCTCATCATCCGTAGCAACATATAGATCGGCACCCATAGCCAGCGCATCATTGGCCTTGCCAGTCTTGCGGGAGATAGCAACCACCTTATCAGCACCCATGGCCTTGGCCAAAAGCACACCGAAGTGGCCCAATCCACCAACACCAATGATACCCACGCGCTTGCCGGGACCACAGTTGTGGTGCTTCAGAGGACTGAACAGGGTGACACCACCACACAGCATAGGGGCGGCCTGTGCCGAAGGGATGCTGTCGGGGATCTTGATAACGAAGTGAGACGGGGTGCGGTTGTACAGAGCATATCCACCGTAAGACTTGCCGCCGTTCAGGTGCACATTGTTGTAGGTACCGACGATCTTCTTGGAGCAATACTGCTCATCGCCCATCGCACATTCGGGACAATCTCCCAGACGACCAAGGCAGGAATCGCTCTGCGCGCCGACACCCACGCGGTCACCAACCTTGATGCCACCGACAGCCTTGGATCCAACGCGCACGGCAGTGCCGACGATTTCGTGGCCCACGCAGCAGGGATACAGGGCAGGTCTCTGTTGCGGTTAGTATCCATGATTTGGAAACTGTATCTCAACCGATACATAATGGTAGATGCCTTACCCAGCCGCTGCGGAGAGTGTGCAAATCGGAACCGCAGATACCGCAGTGAGTGATCTTAATGTCAACATCGGTTTCCTCCCACGGCTTGGGCTCAAACTCCTGCCAGACCATCTTTCCGTCGGCGGAGTCCTTGTCGAGACCCATCCATCCTTCAAACTTGTAATCTTGAGCCATTGTGAATGATTGAGTGGACAGAGGTATGCTTAGGTTTGGAGTATGACAGGTGCAACTAAGTCAAGGAATAGGAGACAACCCCAATTCTTTATAAGCTATACGCCAGGAACCACTACAGAGGGGCAACTGCTATTCCATGGATCATTCATCGGTTGGATCGGCAGATGGCCCACTTTTGGCCAGAGACAGAATAGCCAAGAAGGGAGAAGAAGAGGCGGAAAGGGCACGGGTATTGCGGATATCCCATCGATGGCCTATTAGCCCACTGAGAAGAAGTACTTGTGGTCTAGATGGAGTCTTTCCGATGGACATCTGGCGGAGTCTTACCTCGATCCGTCGGCTTGTTTTGCAGCATTATTAATGCTCTTAATTCAACCTTACCTGTAGACTACAAAATTAATTTGCTATACAGAAACCAAATCTCAGTAATTGGGTTGGGTATTATTATTATTCTAGATTGAATTATTAATTGTAACTGAACGAATACTTTTTAATGCTAGTGTTTCTCCAATTTCTCCCAATCTTCAACCTTCTCCAAAGCCGGACAATGAGACTAATAAAGTGGACGGACAAAGCCCCCCCACTGAGAAAATGAAAAATAAAGAAAACCGAAGTCGGAAAACCTCCCTACAGCCTTATGGACAGGTTAATTGATTGATTTTATTATCTCCAAAGCTATCTCTTAAAAACTCATTATACCCAGTCATTTAAGTGGCAAGCGTGGTGTGATCTCTCTTAGTTCTATTCTTCACGGCCCGATAAACCGCAAGTCAAGAAAAGACGCGGAAACCTTGCAGGAATCGGATCTTATCGGGACTCACTCTAATCAATGTAATCTCGTTCCGAACAAGGGTCCGATTCGGTATCTTTTATCTTTAATCCAGATTGTACTGTAGATAGCGATAACTTTCCTACTTTACTGTGCTGTCTGTCTGTCTGTCTGCCTCGCTACATACATTATTTCCGGACTGGTATTCTTATTCCAGTCTTATTATTGATAAAAAATATCAGGACATATTCGCTACACTGAGATGAATTATCGTGAGGGTACACTTCGGTAATATTCTCGGAATTATGTCGGTGACACGGTACTACGTATAGTTGACCGCTACTAACTATCTATAACTATCGGTCATATTGGGGTGGTATGGCGTTATCTATACTACTACTTTTTAAGTAGCCTATGTGTTACATTCAGCGTCGCATGTTGTGGATGTACTATTACTTGGGTAAGGTATGCAGCTTCTGCTGAGTATATTTCTGTTTATCCATTCTACTAGTTCATATTGGGGGTTCACGTCAATTGAAAGACCCAAGCAATTAATTATACCATTGGCATCTTCAACATGCTGCATTTATACTACTCGGGATCTGTAAAAGGTTCAAGTAAAAAAGTAATAGATTGATAGATTAAAACATATCCCGAAAGAGAACTAAACTATTATTGGAAAACTTCCCTAAATCATCCCCTCCACCCCCATAACCGTATCAACATCCTTATCCCCCCTCCCACTAACACACAGCACAACATGACCACCGACCCCAATCTCTCTCGCCACATCCACCACCTTGGCAATCGCATGCGCCGTCTCTAACGCCGGCAAAATCCCCTCCAACCGACACAACAACCTCAACCCCTCCAGCGCCTCGTCATCCGTCGCCGAGATGAACCTCGCTCTGCCCACCTCCTTCCAATGCGCCAGTTCCGGTCCAACCCCAGGATAATCCAACCCCGCAGACACGGAATGCGTACCGGAGATCTGCCCGTGTTCGTTCTGAAGTACGTATGTCCGCACTCCATGGAACACGCCTACCGAACCAGACCCAGAGGATAAGGTAGCGCAATGATGCTCCGGGCCGGTGGTACCATCGCCGCCGGCTTCCACGCCGATTAACTGGACAGACGAGTCTTCAGAGAAAGGGTAGAACATGCCGACGGCGTTAGAGCCACCGCCTACACAGGCGACCACTGCATCAGGGAGACGATTGATTTGCTGCGCCAGCTGGGTTTTGGTTTCCTGTCCGATGATGGATTGGAAGGTGCGGACGATCGTGGGAAAGGGGTGTGGTCCGATGGCTGAGCCGATGATATAGTGGGTTGTGTTAAGGCGCGTGATCCACGCGCGAAAGGCTTCGTTGACGGCGTCGCGGAGTGTGCGGGACCCGGATTCTACGGGGATGACAGTGGCGCCGAGGAGGCGCATCCGGAAGACGTTGAGGGCCTGGCGGCGGACGTCTTCCGAGCCCATGTATACGGTGCATTTCATGCCGAATTTGGCGCATACGGTGGCGGTTGCTACGCCGTGTTGGCCGGCCCCTGTTTCGGCGATGATCTCGGTCTTGCCGAGTCGGCGGGCGAGGAGGATCTGACCCAGGGCATTGTTGATTTTGTGTGAGCCGGTGTGGTTGAGATCTTCGCGCTTTAGCCAGATGGTGGCGCCTCCGGCGTGGGAGGTGAGGCGTGGGGCTTGGTGTAGGGATGAGGGCCGTCCGATGTAAGGGTAGTAGGAACGGTATTCAGCCCAGAAGGTTGGGTCGTCGATGGCGGTGTTGAAGCCGGCTTCTAGTTCGTTGAGACATGTCGTTAGGGCTTCTGGTACGTATTGGCCGCCGAAGGTGCCGAAGCGGCCAGGCTTGGACGCCTCTGTTGACTGGTCTGAGACAGGGAGGTTTGATGATGACGAAGATGGGTGAGTGTTCTCCGGGACAGAGTGAGGTTCAGTTGGCTTGACTGTCCGACATGTAATCTGAGAGCAGTAGTCTTGGATGATAGCTGCACCCTGGCCTGCAGGGGCATTCGCCAGCTGGGTAATTATCTCACTACCAATGACGGCACCGTCTGCGACAGATGTGACACCGAGGAACTGTTCACGGGTGCTGACGCCGAAGCCAACAGCCACCGGTACTCCGCCAGAAAGATGCTTCACGCGCTTCATCAGCTCCGGGAGATCGTGGCTCAGAGTGCCAGTGACACCAGTGACACCCATTCTGGACACAAGATATATAAAGGAATCGGCAATTCCGCAGAGAGTTTTCATCCGGTCCTCTGTGGTCGACGGTGCTATCAATGGGACGTAGGAAAGACTGCCCAAAGGATACGTGTCAGTGGATGGTCAAGCAATGCCATGTTGCCTCAACAATTGGTATTAGAGAGGTAACTAACCCAGCATCTCTACACTGGTTCCGGAATCGAACAGCTTCCTCGGGCGGTAGATCGACAATGATGAAGCCATCCACCCCCGCTGTCCTGCTCGCAGCGAGGAGCTCGGATTCCCCATAACGCATAATCGGGTTATAGTAACCCATGAAGAGAACGGGAACGTGCAGACCTTTTTGACGGGCATCCTTAACCATTTGCAACATAGAGGATATGGTGACACCGTTATCGAGCGTCTTAAGGTTTGACATTTGAATGGTAGGGCCGTCGGCAATAGGATCCGTGAAAGGGAGACCGAGTTCAATGACATCTACCACATCATTAGCACACCAGCGGACGTTGTCACTTATACAAGCTAGGAAGTATTGCATACCTGCTCCTCCAGCCTGCATTGCAAGCATAATGTCTGGAGTCTCTGCTGCCGTAGGGAAGCCAGCCGTGACATAGGTCACAAGGGCTGGCCGGCCCTCCTGCGCACACCGGGCGAAAGTTTTCTTTAGTTGATCCATTGCACGGTAATAGAAGGAGTTCAATGGATTCCAGTCTGAGAGAAGCGATGAGAGCCATGAGAATGGCTTGACTATTTATAGTGGTTCACAGACTGCCGGAAGTCCGGGCAGGATGAGCAGCCGTGACTCACCCGGACAAGGGAGGGTTTCGGTTCCGACCAACTAGCATTGCTGGCCCCCCGCTAGAATGGTTAAATGCAAAGTCAGCAAGTCCCCTGAAGTTGGGAAAAGTTTCCTGAATGCGTTGACCGGGAAAGAAGTGTGCAATTAAGTAAGGGATACGTAGAATTGATCAATGCTCGTCAAGTCCAATGATGAGATGGATATACAGGTGGGCGGAAACACCCAGAATGACAAACAGGAGAAAAGCAGATAGACAAGAGTAGTATCAAGATAGACCCCAAGCTAGAGTAACGAAAAATAGATCTATATTCGGCATGCATCAACAGAATTATGTGTGCTTTTGGCTCAACCTTCCCGCACCTGCGATTCAGCTATACGAAATCGTGCGCCAACATACAGACATGGCTCATTGCGCTCAGAATAACGACAAAATATCCTCGTTTGTCTTCTTTGGTTGGCTTCCCTCAGGTTGTGGTGAAGCCATGCCACCTCCAGACAGGTCCAGCCCCTCAAAGCCATTCATCAAGTCTGCACCAGCACCGCCACTGGGAGCACCGCTCCCGCTGGCCGGGGTGGCGGCGGCGCCATCGCCAAACACTCCGAGCAGGTCGTCCAGGTTGTTGCTTCCAGAAGGTGCCCCTGCGGCCGGAGATTCCACCCGCACGGGCGTTCCAGCAAGGCCTTCGAGACCTGACATCCCAGCGCCCGGTTCTTTCTGAGCAGATGCCGGCGCGGTGCCATCGAAGTCGATATCCAACAAGTTCTCGACGTTGCTCTGGGCTTGCGGAGGCGGAGCACTGCCAGTAACAGCTGCTGCTGCCGCCGCTGCCGCCAACGGATTCTCCCGAGCGTTTTGGATTTGTTCCCTAGGATTTTCATTAGCCTGGATTCCAAGTAACCAGCTTTGCAAAGCGAGAGTAAAACATACTCGATGGCAGCTCTTTGTACGGCATCTGCACCGAATCTGCCTTGTCCAACAAATTGCTCCGGAGGCTTGTGGTAGACAGATGCGAGGGTGGAGAGCTCGCCCAGTAGCTGATCGAGGAGATTCGGGGGAAGAGAGTGGATTGTAGTGACGATCGGCGGTTTGTCAGACAGTACGATGTTCTTCGTAGCATTGGGGTCGCTCGTGTTGGACAGCAAACGCCAATACACGTAAGCCCTATCGCGGACATCGGGGTTGTCATTCTCAGCCGTGGCCGCCTGCAGCACTTTCTGGACGAGCCCCTGAGCCTTCTCGGGCCGCTTGAGGAAGAGCTTGACGACAGCGGTCAAGATCTGCAGCTGGGTCTGCACAAAGGATCAGCAATTGGTCGAGAGGCTTGGCGAGAAAAATGAACGAACCTGAGAGAACTCCTCATTGAAGCCTTCCACGAAACCAGCAAGAATGTCACCCGCGTTGCTGATTTTCTCCGCATACTGACCAACGATCCAGATGAGCGCAGCGCGCGCATTAGGTTCATCCAGTTCATCGATGCACTTGCAGAGAGTGGGAATAATTCCTTCGTAGCCGGGATATTTGCGGAAGATGTCCTTGATGACCACGATGGCCTCTTGCACCACATAATTGACCTTGGTATTAATGAGGTCCAGCAGGGTGTTGACACACTTTTCGCTAGCGCTTTCGATCTTAATGGCGACTTGACCGATAGCTTTGACGGCGCGGCGCACAAAGTCCATATCTACCTCCAGCGCGTACTCCTTCAGCTCTGCCAGGAGCTGGTCGACGTTGCGGTCGTTCGCTATGCGGACCATGATCTCCAGCTTCTGGAACTTGACGTAAGGTGGATCGTTGTACTTGCAGAAGAAGACCCGCAGTTCCTTGTTCAGGATGTCAGGCTGCTTCTGCAACAACAAATCAATGTTCCGTAAAGCCACATATTGGACTTCGGGCGCCGATGACACCAGCGTTACTGAACATCATACATCAGCAAAAAAGTGGGTCAGCAGAATATATGGTTATCTTACCAAGCGGGGGAGCCATCTTTTTCAGGTAGTTCTTCGCCAGCTCATAGTTGACGTTCCTCATATGGAGGAAGACCACCTTAACGGCCGCCAGGACAACACTGGGGTTGGCATGTTGGAACTGGGGAGCAACCCTTTCGCAAATGTGTTCAGATTCAGTCACTTCATTGGTTCTGTACTCGGCCAGAGTAGTCAAAATCGTGACTCGACCCCATTCCGTGCACTCGTTCAAGGCCATAAGAAGTTTGCGCAGAGTGTTGGAGGTCACCTTGAGGGCTTGCGTCTCAGGGGCAGCATGGTAGATTTCGGACAGTGCGGTGACGGAGTTGGCGACAACCATGGGGTTAGGATCACCAATCATCTCTTGCAGCATCTCCAGGAAGCCGTTTTCCAGGCACATAGCGGGGTTCAGGTCGAAGAGCTTCGCTACACAGATCGCGGCGGTCTTCCGGACATATGGCGACTCATCGCGAAGCGTCTTGCGGAGGGGCTCCTCCATATAATCCACCATCTTGTCCACGCGGATACATCCCATTGTCCGGATTGCGAGAGCCCTGATGAGAGGGTTCGGGTCTTCGGAGTCTTGTACGAAGGTGTTGACGGCGAGAATGCAGAGGTCCGGGTGAGATTTGGCGTAGTTCCTGGTACGTAGCCAGTGTTTAGTAGAGATCACTTGGAAAATCAAAGAGCGAACACGCACATGAGATAGAGGTATACTAGTTTCTTCTGCTCGAGATCGCTGGTCGCAATGTTCTTGAGGACATCCGGAAACAGAGCAGAAACGTCCTTGCCCAACGTCATGGCCATGATGGTCTTCTGAATGGACTCCTTCCTATGCGCGCATCAGAGAATGTATCACGGGCTATCGGCAGTTCTGCATAGGCAGATTCATGTCGACGTACCGTTCATATGCATACTGAGATCTGTCGAGAGGTCAGCAAGATGTCGGTCACCGATCGGGCACGGGGCACACCATACACAAGACCAGCTCGCAATTCGAAGGTCTCTCCTTTTCTGGGGACCGCAAAGGCCCCCCTGATCTTACTCATAGCCATGCTGAGCGAAACCGGGCTTCAGCGACGACGGGGTCGCGCCTCCGCAAAACCAAATGGAATCGGAAGTGGGAATGCAGGAGACTGCGGGGAATTAATGCGAGGCGGCGAGAGCTTCAGAGAACCGGACACGGCAGCAATCCGGCAGAGGATGGTTGGACGAGTAAAAGGAAACAAGACAAGGTTAAAGGAAGAGAAGACAGAAAGTATAGAAAAAGACCCTAAAAGAGGGAAGAGGGGTGTTGATGGGGGGGAGCAAGAGGGCCGGGCAGGAAGTGGAAGGAGGACAGATACAATCAGGGAGTCGAGCGAGCGAGTGTCTGGACCCAACACTAACTTAACCTGAGCCGCTCTCTTTCTTCCCCGGTTTGGCTTCCCCGTCACCACCACCACCACCGCCGCCGCCGCCTTCCGTCTTTCTTTCTTTCCTTCTCCTGTTGAACAGCATTACTTGCTACCAGAGCTATGGTATGTAACTTAAAATTATCCCCTCAAAAGCTACTACTCACCTCTCCACTCTAGGCAAATCTACCCAATCTCCGACGCCTGTTTGTCGAGGCTAGAACAGAGGCGGAAGAGAACGAGTACTCCAGAACAGCGGTAAGCTCTCGCAAGGTGTCGCTATACAATGATTCCAATTATTGACTGACATACTATATAGTTCTACAACCTCGTCCTCTTCATCTCTTCCGTCGCCGTCTTTAGCTTGGTGGCTCAACGTATGGGCGGAACAAAGACAGGGAAATAAGGCGTGATGTGCCAACATGGACTATTCAATTATCTCGAGTGTCATTACGACCCACAGCCTGCGCCAGGCAGATACTGCGACAGCTAAATCATGCAGCAACCCGCACATTGATCGTCCCACCATCTCAGTCCGTTTCCTCGCCCTCGCTCTCTAAAAAGGCCAGACTCTTCCGCCCGCGATTCAGCCGCCGCTTCGGTCGACTATCATCACTGTTCTCGCTGCCGCTTTCTTTACCCCATCGCTTGGCTCCTTCTTGGACCATCTCCAGATCAGCTTTGAGTTCACGCTCCTCGCGGATACGGTTAGCCTTTTCAACCGAGTAGCGCCCCTCCATGCCTGCGTCTTTCAGCATGCCCTTGAGGTGATTGATCTTCGCTTTGGGGGTATCGTAGGGAGCCAGCTCCCGTGCCCACATCTTGCGGATCCCGCACTTCAACAGCCAGCCTTGCAACCGCTTGATTTCCGCTTGGTTCGGGTCTATATCCGCATCCTTTCCCTTTGCCGTTGTCTGTTTCCTGCCCTTGCGTGGGGGTGCCTCGGCACTTTTCTGTTGCTTGCGGTTCGGCTTCGGTTTAGGCTCCTCGTCTAGGACAACTGAAAGTTCGCTCTCAGAGTCGTCTTTTGGCGTCTCTTCAGCTTTCTCTGGTTTTGCCCCTTCTTCCTCATCGGAATCTTGAACATAGTCTTCGGAAGTCTTGGGCGATGGCTGCTTCTTCGGTGTTGCCTTGGTCTGCTTTTTCGGGACCTTTTCTACCTTGTCTTCATCCTCGTCTGGTGATCCATTGGCTGCATCTCCGTCATCGGATTCCGAAGTGCTTTTCTTCTGGCGTTTGCGCGAAGTTGATGGCTTCTCTGGTCTCGCTCGTTTGGCAGGCTTTGCGTCTTCCGAAGCAGATGAAGCGGCATCTTCCTCGTCATCCGGCACGGGTTCCTGGGTAGCTTTCTCTTCCTCCTCCTGTATACATGAGCAAGTCAGTAGACGATCTTCATAAACATCATACACTCTTAGCCATGCACCCAATGACAGCCAGGAAACCCGCAAACTCACCACCTGATCCTTGATAATCTGCTCACTCCTTGTCTTCCAATCCCCCTGAGTCTTGTAAAAGCCTTCCTCCAGCTGTAGTGCTTTCTCCGCAGCTAGCCGCACCCGCTTCACCGTCAATTCTTCCATCTTGCCCGACTTGTACACCTTCGTAACCGCATCACGCAGTGCCTGCTCCAAGACATCATCGGCAGGTCGACCAGACGCAGATTCAGCTTCCGACTCGGGCTCGGAACTTGAAAGGGCGTATCGTGGCGCCATTGCGCTTGTATAACTGTATGGAGGTAGATGGCACTGCGTTGCGATAACCTCAACTGTCGCGCGGTGCCTAGCAGGAGGGGACACGGCGCTAGTTAATTAGCTAGTTCGATAAGTTACCGATCGCGTTCTTGCAGCACTGTTGATAATCTCGTCAGGTACAGAAGCTTATTTCACTAGCAGTCGATGTCCAAGCTAGGACGCGTACTGACGCGAAAAGAACAAGTTAACTAGTTGATCAATCATAGTGTACGGATTCACGAAGCTTGGACGTCCCCATCATTCCATTGCTCCAAGCAAGGCACAGGCGGAGCGGCGGAGATAACTCGGCTGACAAAGCAGGCACATGGCAATTCTAGAAGCCGGAGGGATTCGACGGAGACATTCTTTTGTTGCATTACCAATCAATCACTATCAATTCCCCAGAAGTTGTCTCTTAAGCTCTGTCGCGGATATTGCTCCTTCGTGTCTCTGCCCTACTCGGATACTAGACCCTACAGTGTACATACTACTCTTCCGAATTGACTACTTCTGCTCTGCGCTGCGTCCTACTTCTTCTCCGCATCGCATCCGAATACCTTCATCCACCTCCCACCAGCATCAATCACCACCTACATAGCCCACAATGGCAGACACAACACCACCATCAGACACACAAAAACACCTCTTCATCCACCAACAGCAACCACCCGCTGCACCATCCTCCTCCACCCAACAACAAGCCCCAGCACCAGCGACAACAAAAGATGACTCCGTCCCCGCAGGCATGACCAAACTCCCCAACGGAGTCATCCTCGACAAAGACGGAAAGCCGTACGCCCTCCCCCATCCTCTCCCCACATACCCCCTAACTAACAAAACCTCCCATGAATAGATGCCGCCTCTGCACCTCCGCCGCCTCCTGGCGCGCCCTGACCAAACAAGCCAAATCGACCCCCACCACCGCAACCACCACTACAACCAGCAGCACCATCCCGAAAACCCTCACCACCACCCCCGGCTACACAGACTGTCCACCGGACTCGGAAGCCCTCGGCCGCTCCACCTGGACGTTCCTGCACTCATTGACGGCGTCGTACCCGGCGCAAGCGTCCAGCGAACAACAGTCCGAGATGCGCCAGTTCCTCGGGATATTCTCGAAGTTGTATCCGTGCTGGGTGTGCGCGGACGACTTCCGGACGTGGATGGCGGAGCCGAGTGGGGAGAATCAGCCTAGGTTGGGTGGACGGAAGGAGTTCGGGGATTGGATGTGTAGGGCGCATAATGAGGTGAACCGCAAATTGGGGAAGAGTGAGTTTGATTGTAGGTTTTGGGAGGAGAGGTGGAGGAAGGGGTGGGGGGATGGGAGGTGTGAGTGATTCTTCATCTCCATACTCTGTATTTGATGTGTGGGGGATGGGGAGGGGGGTGTGTATGAATAGATTATAGATATAGACTACTGCTGCTGCTGCTGCTGCTATCATTGCATAGGGTGGTAGGATGGGATGAGTGGGGAGTTTACATTGTGTACTATAATAACTATTGGGTGACGGATATCTCTACTCTGCATCTGATCATGATATGATATGATATGATAATACTATCTCACCTCTTTATCTGTACAAGAACAGTCTCGCAAAAAGAATAGAAGAAAAAGAAATGAAAAGAAGAAAAGTATATCAAAACAATAACAATAACAATAAATAGTTGAATGAATATACTAACGTCGCTGGAATTATGAATTTCACACATCGGGACAATCCAAAGCAGGAGAGCTTCCTCCAGCCATGGGCGCCAACATTTCCTCTCCAACCAGAATCCATCCTCCTTTTCCCCCCACCAGAGAAAGCCCATTTCTATCATGTTTGCACATTGAGACGGGGAATTACAAGCGTGAAGAAATAAAAAGGAAAGCCGTCACATCTCGTCATCATCCTTAGTACTGACCGGGGACGAACAAACGCAGCCCGCTGGCCGGCGCGCCGATCTCCGTCACCAGCGAGATCCGGCACACGGTGCCCTTGTACTGCTCGTGGTACTTGGCGCCCGTGAACGGGTCCGACACGCTCGGTGAGCCGCCGTAGATCGGGGTGAACGAGGCAGCGCAAATATCGAATTCGGCAAATTGGTCGAACTCAATGTCGATCTTGTCTTGCGGGCTGCGCTCGCATTGCGCCTTGATCTTCTTGGCCTATCTCATGGGTTAGCATTTCGAATCATCAAGGGAGAAGGCATGTATTGCTTACCTGTTCCAGGAGCTTGGGTGAGCCACCGTTAGCCAGCATGCGGTTGGCAAAGCTGAGGGCCGAAGAGTAGTTCTTGTTGGCAAAGGCCAGCTTCATGGCAGCCATGAGCGCCAATTGCCGGTGGGCAACCTCCAGCTTGGGGATCGTGAAGTAAGCAGAAAGCTCGAGGCTTCGCTTGAGGTTGTCAGGAGTATCGGTGGGGATGGAACGGCGCTCCAGTTCAATAGTCATGGCCAGGATGTATTCCCGAGCGGTCTCAATGATCTTCTTCGCCTGCTCAACCTCCGCTTCGGATGAGACAGTGTTGACCAAGACGGAGTTCAGGATGTTGCGGAAGATCCGCACACCATCTTCCAACTTGTTGGCCCGCATGGCGGCGTAACCCTCCTGCAGATCCACGTTGGCGATTGTCTCCAGGTCCTTGGGGATGATAGGCAGGACCTTGCGGCTATCCGTCTCATCGACAGTGCGGCGGACATAGTTGACCAACGGGGGCAGGCCAGTGGTCGCCGGGAGGAAAGTCTTGGAGGCCTTGTACACTTCCAAGAACCGGGGCTTGAGAGGGGCAAAGTTGACTGCTCCCACTTGACGGTTAAGCAGTTGCATAGCAGTCTCGAAGGAGCCAGCAGCGACATGGTCGGCTGCCAGAGGGGAGTTGCGCGCCCACAGGTCGGCCTCGGTGCTGCCTGCACCGGCCTCTGCGCTGTCCACGTTCACAAAGTCAACGTCCTCCTCGACATTGATCTCGTCTCCCATGTCCCAGCCAGCAACATCCTCTTCCTCATCCTCGAGGGTGTCGCGTGCAGTGATAGCCTCGTCCTCCTCCTCGGGCTCAAACTCGATCGCCGCAGCCTCCTCGTCGCCGGCGCCAACCTCTCCAAGAAGGGCCTTCTCGAAAGAGGAATGACCAGCAGCCTTGACAGGCCAGTTGGACTTGAAGGTGGGAACAATCGGGTGGGGGACCCGCGCAGGCTCTTCGATGGAGGGAAGGGTGATCTGGTCCTCGGTAAGCCCGCAAGCCTCGAGGATTGACTCGGCCTCTTCCGTCAATCCATGAGACTTGGCGGTGAGGTATGCGAGGGGATCTTTGACTGATTAGCGAAACCCGTTATAACTGCTCGTAATGGACTTACATTGGTCAACTTCCTTGAACATCTGAATCCGATCTTCAACGTCGCCACGGTAGATGGCATTCTGGAAGCGGGAGGTGAAATCGCCACGGTGTTCGGCAATCTTGGCCATTCTTGACAGCTTCTCCTGGTCACCAGTGGAGAGGTACAGGAAAGACAGCTTATCAAAGTTCCTTTGCTTCTGGTAGGCCATCTCAACCGTCTGGTGGTTACCATGAGCCAAAGCCTCGGCTCCGAGTCTGCTCCACAACTTGGGACGGTCGAGTTCCCTAGCCATCTCAATAGCCACCTCCAGGTTGCCGCACTCCAGCGCGAGCTCGAAGCGGGTCTGGGGGTCTTGTACGAACTGCAGCGCGATCTCAGGGTAACCCTTCTTCTGCAGATAGGAGATGATACTCTGACCAACCAAGCTGGAAGTCTTGATGATCTGAAGCATTTCGTCGTAGTTCCTCTTGACAAGGGCAAGCTTGAAACGGTACTCGGTAGGGTCAATCTCCAGAACGCGGGGCTTGGCATTACGATCCAGACAGTAGACATTGCGACCCTTGACCTTGACGAGGTAGACCGTCTGGTCCAGAGTGCGAATGATACCGTTGTCACTGTGAAGTTGTCAGTATGTAAAGCATTCACCACTTGTAAGGAGACATACCCGTTCAGAAGGGAGTATTTAACGTGGTTCAAGGTGGAGTAGAGAAGGACGCCAGCGTCATCCCAGGCTGCGCTCTTGATCCGGATCGTTTCGTGCAAGCTGCTCACCTGCTCAAGGGACTTGGTCACAATCGTGACGTTGTGCTTGCTGAGCAGAGCAGCGTAAAGGCCGTCGTTGGACCAGACAACATACTTGACACCGCTCACAGCCAGCTCCGCCAGTTGCTTCTTCTGCTGGATGTCGAAGAGGACAACATTGGTGGGCGTGATGAAGAGCAGGCATCCAGTACCGCCAAAGTAGATGTCAGTGGTGCCGGCCGGGGGCTTGATCGATTTCGTGGTCGAGTTGCTCAGATCCTTGATGTCCACCTGTTGGTTGCCTTGGCTGAAGACGGCGAAGCGGTTGCGGGCAACAAAGACAGCAGAAGAGCCCTGACCACGCTTGACATCTGTAGGCTCAACGGCACCAGTGGCATCGCGCGGAAGGTGAATCAGTTCGTACACGCCACTGTCGGTAGGAGAGGTAACCAGGATGGCACGTTCAGCGGGGTTGTACGAGAGGGTGCGAGGCGGCACCCAAGGGGATCCGAGCTTGCGCAACGACAGCATAGGAGGGGTCTCGACGTTCTTGGCAAAGTCATACGACTTGACGTGCTTCTCCTTCGTGATGTAGAAGAGCTGGTTCTGGTAGACAGCCGAGGCAGGGCGCTCACGCTCCAACTTGAACACCATGACACCGGTGTCGTGACCAGCAGCGAACAAGTTGATCTCCGGGTGAGCAGCAATAACCCAGAAGCGGTCTAAATCGCGCTTGAATGACTGGACGGATGTTCGCTTGTTCAGATCCCAGCACCGAATAGTCTTGTCTTCACCTACGGAAAGGATCAGGTCCTGGTGTGGGTGGAACAGACAAGCTGAGGCATTCTGGAAATGTCCACGGCAAGTGTCAACCTCCCATGCCTTTGTGTCTATACATCCGTGTCAGCCTGAGATCCATATCTCCATAACAAGTATCTTGACGTACCACTCATCCTCCACAGCTTGATGAGACGATCGTCACCCGCCGAGACAATCAGGGGCAGGGTTGGGTGGAAAGACACCCAGTTGACACCCCGGTCGTGACCCTCCAGAACGAACTTCACCACCGCATCAGTGTTTCCGAACATATCTGCCTGGGCGGGGTTGGCGCGGGCCATCTGGTCTTCGAAGGACATGGAGGTCGGGGCCGAGTGCTTCTTCCGCAAACCCGAAATATCCCAAATGCGAACCGACTGGTCCAAAGAGGCGGAGGCGATGAGGTCTTCGGTAGGATGGAACTGCGCGCACATTACATAGTGGTTGTGGCCGGTCATGGTGCAGACTGTGAAGCCATTGTCAGCACCGCTCGGGACAGGTGGCCAGATTCCGACTTACTCAAGGAGCGGTTCTGCCAGTTCCAGATTCTGATAGTCTGATCGTCCGAACACGAAAGGATCCATGGCAGCTCATGGTGGAAGAATACCGTCCGCACGTAGTCCAGATGGCCATTCAGTGTGAACATGCAACGACGGGTCTGGTAGTTCCAGACCTTGATCTTGTAATCGTCACCTCCGGAGACGAAGAGGGGCTGTGTCGGGTGGAAGTCAATGCCACGAACGGGGCCATCGTGTTCTTCGAAGCGGTCAATGAGGGTTCCCATGCGGTAATCCCATAATTGGATGGTGGATGAATGAAGGGATACTAGGATCCATGGCCTGTTCGAGGGTCAGTCGAACTCGTTTGCGACGCGTTGAACAGGACAATTGTCCACTGACCGCTTGGGATGGAAGGCAATTCCCTTTGCGCGGGAGGATTTGGATTCAAACTATCAAGTAGGATGAAGATTAGTTCCTGTTCCTGAAAGCAGCAGCAGCTCCGCGGCGATAGGGGGGAGCTGGGCAATGGGGAGGGGATAGCGGACCTTGGTGAGCATGTTTGGGGAGGACTGCATGATGAAGGAGGGTTGGCCGGAGCCGCACCATAGAGAAGCAAGCTCCGCACTCAGGTATTAAAAGAGGTCAGAAAGGCGACCACCGCATCCACAACAACGGCGGGAGATAATGGGCAAAGGGGGGACGACGGGGGGAGTTCGGAGTGTCTGGACTCAGTCACTCTGGGCAGCTGGTGGTTCCGTCTTGGATGGCGGTAAACGTGGACTTATTGTGTCGCAGCCAATAAGCGAGTCCCGCGGGCCAATGATGGGCCCGGCGGTGAGCAGCTGCCAGGCACTTCTTTTAGGCTCTCTCTTACATTCTGGGGCAAACATTACAGTGAACTAATTTACTTGGGGGAACTTAGTCAAGCTGCAGTTCTGCCTCCTTCACTCCGGTTCGAGTGGAGTTCGGCGGAGGTTATTCGAGTGTGATCTCACTCTCCCCTTCTCGATGCTTCTTCGGGATCTCCCCCGTCGGGTCCATCTCTCCTCTGGGCCCCTCAGAATAGTACCATCCGACATGATTCCTCTTATCTGGGCCATTTCTGTCTGTTACAACAAGCGGTTGAAGCCGTGGTTGTGAGGTTTCATTTGTCTCATATGTTCATACATCTAAATCAATGGAAAAGCGTCATCGGGTGACTTTGTTCGCTATTGAATTACCATCGTTTCCGTTTCGCAACGCATGCGCGGATTGCGTCACGCTCTACAGAGCAGCAGCTAACCTTCAGAAGGGCAATTTCGTCCATACAAGATTCGCTCTTTTGGACTTTGGCTGACTCAGGATGACGGAAATTCTTGAAAGTGAAAGTCCCCCTACGTTTCAACCACACGATGGGTCAGGAGCTTTTACATCTCAACCATGCAACTCGCAAGGCGATCTGGGAATCTCGTTTGGAGCAGATACAGTTCCTTTGGAAGGTAACTCACCAACCATTCACAAACATGAGGCGAATGCGGATGTAGTCCTACCGTATTCTATTGAGGAGCCAGACGATGAGCCTACTGAGGCTGCAGGACTGACCACAGACAAACCGGCGATACGTTTACTTGTTGGGGACAACTCAGAGATCTGGCAGGGCGAGCTGGTGGACTCGATGGAGGGGCTCCAGTGCGACTCAGACCAAAGCGCTAGCCGGACGAGGGGGAAGAAAAGAAAGCCTTCCGCGACAGCAACCGGTTCATCTCGACCATTCCGACAGTCATCTTCCGACTCTATACCCAATGCTCAGCGTGACGAGTCCAATGATGGTCCCAAGAGGAGGCGCCGAAAAGGCAGATGCGCGAGGGACCATTTGTCCCCGGGGATGATCTGGCAGCACGATAGCAGCGAAACCACCTCGTCGGGGAGCTACAGTTCAAGGTCTCCGTCGACAGATGACAGTGCAACCCAGCCTTCCAGTCACACTGATGCCGATGCAATGGACCTAGATGAATGAGCGATATTATTGCGGGAGATTGACACTGTCGCTCATCCTTTCGACGCAATTCTCCGAATCTATATGCGACACGTGACGTAGTTGACGCGGCGTTAGCCAGAACGGGCTGGACCCTGTATGACGTCACGGGGTTCTCATCGCCATTTCCGGCGAATCTCAACGACTTCCATTGGCGACCACCAGTCGATCGTTCATGCCCCTCGCCCATTCATCTCTACTCGCGGTTCCTGTGTGCATACATTCCCAATTGGCCTATTGATCATTCTCAAACTTGACCCAAATAGTTACAATGGCCGCCACTAGAACGTCCACCCGTCAAGCGGCTCAGAAGGCGAAGGAAGCCATTGCTGCTGCTCCGGATGTCAAGAGCCGAGGTCCTGCTGGCGCAAAGCGCAAGGAAATCTCTGACAAGGGCCCTGCACCGAAAAAAGGAAAGAAGGAGGATGACAAGGTAAAGCCCGAGGAAAATCAGCAGCCGACGACCGAGGAAGAAGTGAAGACCACAGAAGGTATAGTGTACCGTTAATCTATGGAGATTCGGGCTGACGAGATCAGAACGTGCGGAAGAGCCGGAAAAGCCAGAGTCGAAGTCTGAAGAAGCACCTGAGAAACCTGCCGAAGAAGAACCGCAGAAGAGCGATGAAGAGCCCGCAGCAGCACCAGCTGAGCCCGCCGACAAAGCTGAGGATCAACCAAAGCCAGATGAAATCCCCGAGGAGAGGCCAGAAAATGATGTAGAGAAGCCAGAGGAAAAGAGTGACGAGAAGCGCGAGGCAGAGCCAGAGACAAAGCAAGAGGAGAAACCCGCTCCTGCTGCTGACGGCGCCGAAGCCGGAGTCAAGACGTCCCAGGAGCGGGAGGAGAAGGTCGCATCAAACGTACTCGAAAAGGGAATCATCTATTTCTTCTACCGACCGCGCGTAAATGTGACGGACCCGCAAAGCGTTAGCGATGTTGCCCGGAGCTTCCTGGTGCTGCGACCAACGCCCATTGGTGCCACATTGAATCAACAGCAGGGCTCTGTGGAACCTGGCGCAAAGTGCCGGCTATTGATGCTGCCCAAGAAGAAGTTTCCCACCTCTGGTAAAGAACGTGATATGGGGTTCGTCGAAAAGGCCGGACAGAGTATGAAGTCACTCCAAGAGACCTTCATTGCTGGCGATACGTACGAAACGTCTACCCGTGGCGAACGAACCGTTCCCGAGGCCAGACCGTTTGCCGAGGGCGTCTACGCTATCACATCTACGACTCGGGCGTCTCACTTGGCTTATGTCTTGACCATTCCGGAGACCATCGGATCCATCCAGGAGGACTTTGGTTTGCATTCTCGAGGCAGTTGGGTCATCCAGTCGAAGAACCCCAAATACCCTGGCCCATCCTATGCTCAGATCCAAAAGGACCCCGAGTATCCCGAAAGGTACACTATAGCTGCCCCAGATCATTCCAGGGATATTTGCTGATAATACTAGTGTACGCGAAAAATTCGGCGACTACCGCTGGGTCCCGTTGCAGCCAGAATTCATCGACTACCCCAACGCACAATTCCTGATGATTGGCGAGGCTACCGACGACCTTGGCAAGGCCGCGACAGCCGAAGAGGGCGACAAGCAGGCCAACGAAGCACAGCCCGGCGAGGAACTAGAGAAGTTGGAACAGGAGAATGAAGAGCGGATTGAAGCTCTACGTGGTAAGTTGCCAAGCCTATATGTTGTGATCGGATGACTAACTTCTATTTAGGCGATGACACCATCTATGAAGATCTAGGATTGGATGCGAAGAACTATCCCAAAGTGCCGACGACCTGGACTGGTGAATGAAAGCTCAAAAAGTAGTGACGAATCTCAAAACAAGTATTGAAATGAAACGAAATGACATGACTCGAATTTATTCTGTTGCAGAGCCTGTAGAGAACTGCCACTGGACTAGACCCTCGGCTCTGGCTAATTCATCCTATAAAGCGAAATTGCATGCAGCGAAGCACCCACGCGCCTGCAGCACTAGTATCCCTTTAGTTCCTCTAAATCTGGTCTTTTGAGGTAGTAGTTGGGATTAGTTAACAAGGGAGCTGCACTTCTATTACTTAGCAGGGTTCATGGATTTCGCGTCGGTTCAGGTATGCGAAATGGGTCGGGGTATGGTCTTGATAGTAATCAGGTGTTGGTGTTTAGAGTGAGGTTTTAGATTCAAGAATTTAGGTTCCGCAATAGTTGGGTGATGGTTGGTATAATAGTGGCTATTGGGTTATTTGTAGTTGTGTCAATATAATTTTGCGGGTACGAGTTGGGTGATAACCGACGCGGCCCCTCAGCATCTGGAGTACAACCATTAAACTGCAGCGACAACTCGAGTTTACTCAGTAGTTAAGATTTAGCATAGGACACTGCCAAGTGGATATTTAAATTGAACCATAAGAGGCGGATACTAATAAATACTAATAAATGAATCCGTGGGGTGTCCGACACCAGATATATTTATCCAGCTGCCATAAATTGACCACCACTCAAGAGAAGAGAGTACTTCAGAAGCAACATTAGCATCGCGGAACCCAGTCCGGTACATAGAATATGTTTACCTTGTTTGTCCCCATCGCATTCATAATGCAGTAATCACAACTGTGACACTCGTTAAACCGGACGCCAACTCCCTCCTCAGCTCGTTACTGGCACACATTCAGTTAATGAGATGAAATATTGATCGCACGTAGAATATCATCCAGCGACCAGCCTGGTCCACCCGGGACAATCTCCGCCCAGACTTCTTCCGGCACGGCGTCTTCGGCATCCAGCAGGCTCCAGTTGGGACTGGGCTCCGGCTTGATCCATTTGAAATCTTCCACCTGACTCCAGTGGTCTTCGTCATCTGGGCGATCGTGATCGAGTGTCTAGAGTTATCATCGTTAGTAGAAGAATGGACATGATTATAGAGGCAACCTACGTAAACACGGGGTTTCCGACCGAATCGGACATTGCTGCAGTCCTCGATAATCGGGTTGCTGGAACAGCTGAGGTAGACGTCCACATTAGAGCAGTTGTGCATCCGGAACTGCCGACAGTCAACCACGAGAATGCTATTCTCCACTCCCGTGATATGGGCCGGGCCGTTGATCTGGCCACAGACGAGCAGACTCTCCTTAACGCTCTTGATGGTCAGACTGGTATACGGCTTTCCGTTGGCGGTGGGAATGGACATGTCGACTACGCAGTGGCGAAGATGGGTGATGGACGCGGGCACAGTTGCGGTCGAGCCAGAGGACGGCAGCATGATGTGCAGGTTATGGTGATTGTTTACAGACACTGAGGACACGGCCGTTGCGGCAAACCCATCCCCTACGTCGGACTTGGGTTTATCCTCATCTTCGTCCACTGTAAATGCAGGAATAGAGGTCGGAGCAAGCTCCGGTCTTTGTAGATGGAGGCGGTTGTCGGGTTCATTCAGCGGCGTTGACGGATACATGGGGGTTTGTGTCGCGGACGAGCTGACCGAAGATGTGTCAGGGGAGGGGAACCCAGGAATACTGCGTCGACCTTGAGCGGCGAGATGCGCTGCATCGGACAGAGAGATGGCGGATGCATTCTTCTTGGTCTTGAAGCTGAACTTTGGTCGTGGCTCGACGGCAGCTCGAGTTTCGACGAGTTTGTCCTGCAGAGCTTTGATGGCCTGGAAAAGTCAGCACGGCAAGCGCTACTCAGGCACGAAGGATGTATACCTCAGCATATATCCGCTGATCATAAGTTGGGATGTAGCTGGCTGCGTCCTTGACCTCGTTGGACAAGCGCGCAATGCCCGCCAGACAGTGATCGGTTGCGTCTGTCCGTTCACCTCCCACTAACGACGTATCGGCCAGCCGATCCATCTGTTCCTGGAGCGCTACAGGAAGAACAGGCGTCAGATTCCTCTCTTCTGAGAAGAGGAAGAGCATAGGTAATCAGCTGGATCAGCTCAATCATACCAGTGATCTCATGCTGAAAATAGCGGAAGAACCGTTCCTTCAAGGGGATTTCGGACTTGAGAATGGTTTGGTTCTCGGACTGAGAGGGCCGACGGGCCGGGTCAAACTCAGGCATCGACATAATGGCGATGATTTAGATGAAGGTAGAAAGTATAAGAGGATAGGGAAAGGACGAGAAGACCGCAAGTCGACGACGTTCTGGGGATGGACGAACGGGGCGGATGGGATGTATTGATGACGTCGACCCGAGCTCGCTTCACTTTTTTGCAGCCGGGACAGCAGAAGTTGGAGCTTGAATTTCGGGACTGAATAGGCAGGAGATGGTGAATATTGCCTTGCTGAAGGGAGCAGAATGCTAGAAAGCTCCAGACACACGAAGGATTAGCTATTCACGTCCAATGCACGACAGGGCATCAGTCCACCCCAGCGATAGGGGGGAGACAGAGAGGGGCAAGCGCGCTTCGATGGCCAATGCCGAGTCGATCACCCGCCGGTCCACCTCCGGACACCCCCGGAATTGAAGCAAAGGGAATCCAGCATTACCCACCCCAGTAGGTTAGGACGACATGCACAAGCAGCGTGTCCAGCTCGTGGTGGCACGAGACCAGAATTCACTGGGTCAGTTCTGCTATGAGAGAGTAATTGACTCCCAGAAGATGGTTGGTGACGTCGACTAATCGGGCCGTTCGGAATTCGGCGATTCTCCCCCTCCGCGTTGCTGGCGTCCCCGCACTAGTCCCTTTCGGGCTACGACAGCGGCCACTCCCGAATTGACATAAATTGTTATGGAAGAAAGTAAGTAGTATATTATGGATAGCATACATTTCATACATTCATTGCACATTAAATCAAAATATATAGTAGCTCATCACACATACAGCCAGAATGCATTGTAGCCTTTCATTCCAAAGCGCCAACGCCAATGTCAGCCGCCAGACTCCACCTTCATTTTTCCCTTCAGAATCACGTCGACGATAGCTCTGGCAGATCGGGCCGCGGAAGAGAGGGAAGACCATCGATCTCGGCCAGTAGTTCGGTTGAGAGCAACGAATGCCGTCGACGTTGAGTATGGAAATCAGCTGCCATGGGCCGCTCCACCACTAGTCGGTCGAAATCAGACCGCAGATCACAGTCGCTGGTCGTCTCAATGCCGTCTTGCATGCGGACCGACCTCAGCACCAGTTTGCCCGCCTTAACCCAGAAGGCAAGCACCTCGGTTTCCTGAGGGAAGGACAATGCCAGTTGTCCCGGTCGGAAGACAGACGGGCTAATCTTGGAAGAAGCCTTCCTGACCCGCGAAAGCTGAAGACGCCCGTTGGCCTTGGAATCACCCACGTATACTTCGCACATCCCGTTTGCTATAATGAATCGTGTCCCGGAGGGGGACTGCGCCGCATGCACCACTCGAGTACTGAAGGAGTCGTTCGTCGTCTTGTCATCCAACATCGAAAAGAATGAGGGGTATTCTTTCGCAAAGAAGGCCGTCAGGAGAACCGCATGCTGTGTTCCATCATAGAACACCCCCGTAAAGTCCCCGTCGTTGCTTGTCCACTAGGAATAGTTAGTGGCACATTTCTTTCGATGAGAACGAAGATACATACCGACGGAAGCTTGAGCGACTTCGACTTGTCAGGGACAATGCTCCATTGCTGAAACGTGCAGTTCCACACGTCAACGTAGGCATAGTGGTCTCCAAGATGGGTCGCAATGGCGAAGTGTTTTCCATCTGGAGAAAATTGCAACTTCCTCTCGATGATAGCCTCCTGTCTCTTCCCCTGATAGGCCGTCCCCTTGGCATTGGGGGACGCGCCCATCACAGACCGGTGACCAAAGTCCGACGACCGATCCATGCCACTACCTAGCGAGACTCTCTGGATAGTTCGTGTGCATATCTCGTATACTCGAACCTGGTCTTGAAGGGTGAACGCGACATACCGATCGTTGCGTGACATCACCATGCAGGTAACGGGGAAGGTTTGGTTTTCTGTTTCGATGGTGAGGTAAGCTTGGGGAACGTCGCTGTCGTTCTCGAACACGACGAGCTCGTAGTGCTGTATCTGTTAGTATCCAATTCACGAAGTCAAGGACAACTGATGAATACACACCTGTCCAACAGAAGCCAGGACGGCGCACCGCTGGTCTCCTGCCGCGGCTTGTTGCACGCCCGGAATATCATATTTGTGACCCTTGGGCTTTTTACCGTCCCCTACGCTTGTTTCGAACCTCATTACCCAGTTGCTGCCTGCACCCCAGAACAGCAGACAGCTTCCTGAGGTCGAAAAGCAGAACCGAGGTTGACGAGGTAACTGATGTCCTCTGGCAGAGTTCCTCCTGAAGAGCGATGCCCCGCCTCCAAAAGGTAGCTTGACATTTCTGAGGTCGCGTGAAAGGGTTTTGATCGCTTGCCTGTCAAACGACTGGTCCGTCCTACTCCGCGATAGGATCGGGCTGAAGACTTCGGTCGTGGTGGCGATAGCCTGCTTGCTCGTTACCTTCGACAACGGGGCTGGATTCGAGCTGGGTGAAATCGGGCGTTTTGACGGGTCGGACTCAAGCCGTGAGGACTGACTGGTGGAGTGACTGAGAGAACTGGAACAGGACGTGGTGTCCCTCGAGGTCGAATCAAGAAGAGAGTGGCGCTGCTCTGCCTCGGAGTCCGAGAAGAAATGTAGGGCATCTGATAACTGCTCGAGAGGCTCGATCATCCGAGCATGCTGAACCCTCTTATTGCCTGGGCATAGAGGACAGTCGATATCCATCGTCAGAAATTCGGGGCTCCCTTGTAATTGCTAATCAACGTTAACACTGCACAATCACAACCGGGACCATTGAAATTCCGCTCCTACCTCGTAAGCACCTTTGTCATGGGCCTTTAAGCTTTCCTCCAGTAGCGGTCCAGGAACCGGATGCACCGCAGGGCAGTTGACGACGTAGACTGCGCTGACACGGGAAGTCTTCGGTTGAGGTGTCGGATCCGCTTCGGCTGCAGAAGAGCTCTGTAACCACTGCGTAAGGTGTTGTTGATAATCATGGGAGAATGCTTCTAATTCCCCATTGCAATCCCACATTTGCACGCGGCGGTTGATAAGCCACCGCACGAACTGGCTAGATGCCTTCTCCCATGAAGTCCGGATAGGAGCCATTTGATGCCAAGTATCCCGAATCCTCCGTGTCTGTAGGGGCGGGTGTTCTTCGGCAGTTTGACTTAAGATGATCGTTGCGAAAATGCGAAGAGGCGCGGTGTTGAACTCGTCATCGAAGGCAGCCAGGACCGTCCTTGTGAGCTTTTTCTTGATTTCCTGTGCTTGATTGAAGGACTCGTCCACTTTATATGCTGCCGGACTGGTGTAGCCCTGTTCTTGGGAAATCCGACGGCGATCAATGTGACACTGGATGATGGCGGAGTCTACTGCCCAAAGCATATCGTATAAAAGACAGAAGGACACCAACTGATCCGCATCATTCTTCATCACGTTCGTCAGAAGATCAGTGATAAGCCTCTCTGGAGCGCCCGAAAGTGGATACTAAGGAGTAGTAAGTTACTGTCCCAATCACAGAAAGGTCTCTTAACAAGACTTGAAGACTTACAAGGCCCGTTGCGAAAGGAGGAAGATAGGGCTTTCCACAGTCCAACAGGAAGGCCTGACTCGTTGACAGATCTGGGGATCCAATACTAGTTAGGGCCTTGGGCAGAAAATCACTAATCAGGAAGCGCTCGACATTTGAAAGGTCCGGGTTCCTCCAGGCCGCTCTCATGGCTCGCTCAAACTGGAACTTCCGGTCGGTATCAATCGCCTCCCCGCGCAACAGGAGCACTCGAATACCCGTGAGTAGCGTATGCGCGATGAGGAGTCTGTATCGAATGAAGTCGCCATCGGTCGATTTATGGGAGGGAAAGAGCTCGACTTTGACTTTGACTAGGTACATCAGAGCCGAGAAGATGGTCTCGGTGGGGAGCAGATAGGGCAGGAAGTAAGGGTGACAGTCGCGAACATGGCTCAAACCCTGGAGATAGGTTCGCTGGGCGTCGAAGATGGTCTTGATCCAGAAGACGGAGCGGGTGAGAGGCTCAACGGATGCCTTGGCATCCTGTTGGTAGAGCGCGATATCCAGCGCATGCTCTCCGATGATTTCGCGTAGGATGTGGGCAAGATCACGGCGGCCCAGCTGTTCCCACACGGCTGCCACCAGCGGATGTGACATGGGGAGAACCGGGATGGCAGGCCACGGACATAAGAGCGAGCGAGCAGACTAGAGTTCGATCACCAGATGACTGGTTTGGGGGGCACGACAAGGAGATCCGATCATCGACAGAGAGCCGCAGCGACAAAGAAGAAGTTGTTTCAGAGTAAGAGGAGAAGGAAGAAAGCAGGTTGAGGCGCCGTGCCCGCCTGCTGCCAGGTGACCCCGACTGATTGGGGGGGAAAGCAACCATGCCGTACTAGGACGAAAATGCCTTATGTCGGTGACCTGCAGCCCTCCTAGAATTTTTTTGTGGCCAGCTTATGCGAGGCTGCGTGTCTGTCTTACACGCTTTGCTGATTTGCTAGCAGCCCGTCACCCAGTCATCCGGCCCGCTCATGGACACGGGAGGGGTTGCAGACGCCCCAGCCTCGTTGGTTGATGATAAGTTAAGAAGTAATCCCTTGCTAGTAAGGCATTGGTGGTGTTAGCCATCGGAGAACCAACGATAGTTGAAAGAATGAGGGATTGTTATTGGAGAGGCTAGTGTGGGAACCGTCATAGCTTTGGGGGGGACCCATTGGGACTTTGATGGGCGATGGTCCGGGCTGGATCGAATGTGACAGAAGCACAGTAGAGAAGGAGGGATGGTAGGCAGTGTGTGCGCAAGAGTGGAAACGGAGAAGATCATTCCTGGCAGGAGATCGAGACGGATGGAGACGGGGAACAGGGATTGCGGGTGGAGAGAGCGACCAAAGCAGTAAGGTACCGGCCCCAGGCTGCAACTAGACGGAGCAACTAGTTGCTGTCCCCTGGTTCTTCTCCTCCCCATCATTGCAGTGGGAGGGATCTGGCTCGCTTTAGGGCTCCTTCGCTTGACTCGGTTGCGTAGGGAAGCTTCAGGGCATGTTTCACGAAGTATGACTTTATTGTTGCTTCGTCCAATGATCCTGGCAGGTTCGATGCATGGGGATAATGACCGACTTGGGATGCATAGAATGCTTACGATGTGCCTGAGAGGATGAGCGGCACAACGAGGGGGCCAAATAGCCTAAGCTAGACTAGAACCTCGTACTAACAGCTGTATCTAGTATTTACCATCTTCTAGTCACTGCTAATAACTAATTGTTACTCACTAGTCAGCTCGTTACCCCGCCATGTCTCTCATCATCCCAGTCTTTTTTCCAGGCACCATTTCTGGTAGGAGTCTCTCCCTCCTTCGGTCAGTCATTTACTCATCGCTGACATGTAGTTAGTTAGGGAAACATCCGACTTACCTGCTAACTGATTTGGTTACTGACTAGGCTGGTCCCGGTAGTACCGCCGTTATAACTGTTTTGGACCCCACGGCCCGTCCGTCTCGCCTACAATTAGCGGCAACCACCGAATGGTCAATCCCCGCCCAATCCAGCAGCTGCTGTCTGTCTGTACTCTTGTAGGCTGTCTCTCTCTGTCAGTCTGCCGCGGTCGGCTTTCTTCCATTGTGCTTACCAACCGCAACCGCCATTATTTCACTTCTTCTCCTTCTACTTCTTCTTCTTCTTCTTCTTCTTTTCTTTTCTTTTTTTTTTTTTTTTTTTTTTTTCTACCCCTCGGTCTGACATGCATGCAGTCTAGTACCCGTCCATGCAAGACCGACTGTTTCAACCCCAGGGCTTGTCTCATAGCATGTTGCCGTCCAAACCAGAACTGACGCTAAAGCATGCTTGCACCTTGCTGAGCTAGACCGAGGCACACCGAGCCTGAGACCATTAAGTTTGTGCCCTAAGTAGTGAGTACAAAGTAGTAGTGGTGGTCTCGTCTCGTGCACTGCCACAGCCGGCGGTTCCCCGTTCTTAGGCCCGAGCGCTCTAGTCCCCACTAAAGATCGTGCACGAGGCTAAATTGATAAGAAGCTATGGAATACTGTGTACGGCGGGCAAATGCAAATCCGCCGTGTTTACTGCAATCACAGCTGCTCCCAACTGCCACCCTTCTCAAATACCATAATTATAATTAAGTAGTAGTAGTTGATCTTCCCTCTGTTTTTTCTCCAGCACCCCACTGGCCATTCATACTACACTTTTTGAGGTTAAAGCGAGATGATCGACGGAACACTCCTTCCTTCCTGGTTCCGAATGTGTGTAATTTGGATATAGCACTGGTTATGATACCATTGTGAAGCCTTGACACTGACTTCATCCAAATAGCCTCCTACTGGGTCTCAGCATCTACTCATATATACCCCAGCTTCAACTCCTCTGGACAACCAAGAATAGCTCCAGTCTTTCTCTGTGCTATCTACTATTTAATCTCATATGTGCGACCGAACAGTTTCTCCTTGCATTTATCTGCATTAGCAACCCAGATCCGAATGTGTTCGTGGAGGATCGTGGATCTTTGAGAGACTGGTTGAACCTCATTCAAATAACGGTGGTCTGGCTACTCTCTGGCCTCACGTGTGTTTCATATTAACCATAGAAATGTTCATCTATACTAACTCCACCTCCAAAAATTCACACTAACCCTAGCATACCCCTCCACCTCATCCTTCCGCCAGAAGCTCTACGCTGCCTTGTGGTACATCATCTTCCTCCTCATAGCCGTCCTCCCAGCATTATGCGTAGCCGCCACACCGGATCTAAATAAAGAAGACCCAAGCTGGGCGCATGAGTTGCTCTTTGTCATGATGAGTAGTGTCCATGTCATATTTGTCAGCCCCGTCACGACAATTCTCGCATTCGGCGCCCTATTCTGCCAGACGCCGAAACTGCGGAAAGGAGTGCCGTCGCCGCGGGCTTTGAGTCTTCGAGGACTCGCGCTCCAGACAGGAGTATTCTCGGTTCTTGCGCTGACTTGGCCCTTCCGTATCATATATCTCGGACCCGAGTGGGATATACTTTCATCGTGGTTTGCGCTGTTTAATTGGTATATGTTAGTCGGTTGGGTGGCTGTGGACTCTGCGGTCATTGCACTGGTTCAGGGGATTCTGCTGTGGTTGGCGTATAGGAATAGGAAGTACTGGCGTTTTGATGAGGGGGATGAGACTGAGCCGCTGTTGGCTAATAGGGAATAATCTCATCGTCGCCAATATAACTTCTATATTCACCGACCCCGATCAGCAACTGTAAACTCAACCATATTCGAAGCCGGCACCACCACCTCCGGCCGTCCGTCATTGTCAGCTGGCTTAGTGATCACCCCGAATCCAACTACCATTACAATAGTGTCCATATGATCCTCCTTTATTCCCCAATCCCACCAAGTCCACTTGCATCCCTTGAATTGGTGTCGCATGACCTCTCCACCTCGAGCATCTTCAGGTAGATCAACCACCATTCCAAGTTTCCGCTCTTTACACCAGGTCTCGTTGGGCTGCAGAGACATAAAACCGTCGCTTGTACCCACCGTTCGTGGAACATCTTCATCCTCAAACAAAGCGTATCCACATACGCCATCGCCGCGCCAGGACTCCCACTCTCCTGTATCCTCCATGTCGGCGGGCCTTCAATCTCGAGGCTGAATATCGGCACGCCTGGGGTGCTTAGCAGTTGTTAGCGTCCTAACATCAGCGGATAAATTGGCAGAGAAGAGGTACTCACAGAGTACTGAGATCTAATTCGACGATTGGAGGAGTCAATGGCCTTGGTGGCGGCGGCGGCGCACTACCTTCAATTAATGTGAAAGAGAATCGTGCGCCTCCAGGCAGTGTCATCGGGGTCGATTTCGCCTCCAGCTCCGTGATTTCCAAATTTTCTTTATTTGTATCATTCGATCCCCAATCCCAAAGATGCACCTCACCTCCTGGCCAGAAGAGCTCGTATGTGATCCATTCACTTTTTATAACGGATCGAGATAGATTCTCCCCAAGAGGGATATCCCACGACACGGCTTCATCATCCGCACCCAAGTACCAGAGGTGAAGAGGGTTTGACTGCCGCGTTATTGGTGAGGAGCAATCTGACTGCACCTCCACCTCCATTAGGCCCTCACTGGGCGAGTCACGAAAGACCCTGAATCCTTCATTGGTGCTGGGGGACCAGTAGAAGTAGGTTGGCTTGGGTTCCTGGTGCTTCTTAGATCGAGTGATAGTCACTGTAACGAGATTCAAATTCGGGCTTTCAGTATAGAAGTTTCTGGGTGCAGTTAGAGTTACCTCCAGCGCTGGAGTATGTGGACTTTCCGATCCCTTATGTCAGTATCTTTCTGATGGGCTGTAATAATACGAGGGATACACACTGTCGGTCCGCATCGGAGAATTTTAGATACTGTTTCAAGGGGTCGTTCATGGTAACGGATATCTTGGTTGAATAATTGAAAGTTATAAGCAAGTCGTATCGGGTAAGAAGTGGAGTGTATAGAAGAAGATTCTCAGTGGACTTAGGTTACGGGGAACAGACGTCCTTATATGGAAGTGCTTGTGCGGGGTGTCGACACCACCAAGACGTAGTACATTGGTTAGCCGAGCTAAATCAATACTGTAATATTGACAACTTCATGTTTCATTCTTATTGCAATTAGCTTTGCAGCTCTTATCTTAGTTGCTTTGTATATGGTTGTGTGTTTCAATACACAGTAGTCAATAAACTGCACTAGTATTTTTGCTCGGATACGGAGTTGTTTTTGCATCATGTGATTTGGACCAAGTTCTCTCCTAAGTCCGAAATCCTTCTGATATATGTACTTGTAGAGACTGTGATCGAAGCGCCGCACGTAGGTGTTGACGATCGCGTGCTCGGGCTGAAGCAATATGGTCTTGATCAGACCCTGGACGCAATCGTCTAACTGGGTGTCGTAATTGACCGGCTTATACTGCGACTCAGAAACCTCCAACGTGATAGACTAGTATGGACCTTATTGGGCGTCGGAAGAAGCAGGGCTCTGGCCGTTGGCAAGTTGCTTGGTAGGCAACTTGACCTTTTGCTGGGGCTGATTATTTGGGGAATGGTTGGAGAAGATAGGCTAAGATTCAAGCTACGGGAGCAAATGCCTACTAAGATGAAACTTCGCCTACCGTTTCTAAAACGAGCCATGACGTGTATCCTCCAACCCTAGGGACTGGAATATGCTTGACTGGTGAGTCCCTTTCATTCTATACATGGCACTCTCTACTCTACAATCTATCCGAAGCAGTCCTTCTCTCTGTCACGCGGACATCCAATGGCCCTCGTTCCCAGACCATGTACGACATCTGCTCCGCCCAGTTGGAGCTATGTGGCATGAGCTGCAGATCAAACCGAAAAAGTAGACGAGCAAGAATCAGACGCATTTCGGCATACGCCAGACTAAAAAAGCGTTGTCAGTCGACGACCTAGCCATACAATCAGCTATGAACACAAGGGAAAGTTTACCTCTTTCCAATGCAATTCCGAGGTCCAACATGGAACACCTGGACTGACTGCAAGTTATCGTCCTTGTATGCTGGATCGCCCAGCCATCTTTCCGGAATAAATTCGTCCGGGTTGCGAAAGTTCTTGGGTGACCTCGACGTTGCCCAGCTATGAACGGATACGGCGGCCTAGTTGGTCTTCAGTCAGTGCGCAGCTCTCATCTTCAATAATCAAAAGTAGAATGGACTATATTCCAGACGCACCCCGCCTGGAACCCATTGCCCAGCAATTTCAAACCCCTCCCCAGGCACCTGTCGTGGCAACCCCGAGGGAATTGGCGGATACAATCTCCAACCCTCCTCCAAACACGCAGTCAGGTACTTCAAGCCTGCCACGGACTGGATTGTGATCTCCTCCTCCACGCTGAAGGCTGTCTCAATCTCTTGCCTGAGCTTGCGCATCTTCTCCGGATTCTTCAGCAAGTAAAACGTCACCGCCGCCAACGAGGTCGCACTCGTCTCACTCCCCGCCACAATCAACGTGGAAGAGTTATTCGCTAACTCGGCAAACGACAACTCCGGCGCCCCCGTCGACAGATACTGAATGAAGTCCTTGCGATCTGTCTCCTTTCCCAGACGGCGCATCACCTTCTCGGTCGTCTTGGCGATGTGCGCCAGCCGCTTGCGCGCCAGCTCCGCCGGGAGAAGATACCACAGCAGGAGGGACCGCAAACCGGGGAATCGCGCGCTGATCTGTATGAGCATGCTCGTTTTGAGAGCTAGGAAGATCAAGCGCACCCAGTCGTCATAGGCGCCTCGTTTGAGACAACCGAAGGGCTCGCCGAAGCCTAGGTCGCCGATAATGTCGAAGGTGCAAAACTATTTCCCTAGCTGATTAACTTGATAGACAACAAGGAATACGAGGGGAATTAATCGTTTCCGCTGCTGCATACGGAAACTCACATTAAACCAAGCGCTCATGTCCACGACTTCGCCCGAGCGCTGCTCCAACTGCTGCACGAACAAATCCACATACCCCTTAATGATGGGCTCTTGCTCGCGGATTGATTTCTCTGCAAACGCGGGGGCCAGCTTCTTTCGGAAGCGGTGGTGGTCGTGGAAGCCTGCGGTGGTGATGCTTTGGTTGCCCGAAGCGAAACCCGCATAGAAGGTGGGGTCTTTTCCCAGTTCGGGGAATTCTGTACCCGTCGGACGCCCGCTGTAGATGGACGTCCAGGCACGGGGGTCGGTATAGGAGAGTTCGTTGGGGGCATAGCGCACGACGGGGCCGTAAAGGGAGTGGAGCTGGCGCATATCCTCGTGGAAGTTACCGCGGAGGAGAGCATAGGCATACCAGAGTGGGAAGGCAGTTGCGTATTTGGGGCCTGGGTAGTTGGAGAGCGGGTGGAAGTAGAGGTTGTATAGAGCGAGGGCAGTGAAATAGGTGGGGAGCTGGATGGTGGTTTAGTGGGGATTGATTGGACATGATGTAGGTGAGAGACCAGAATAGAAGTGTAGTACTACATACCGCGATGAGAACTGGGCTTATCGCGTATAGAGGGTTGGACCACAGTGACGCAGCGACATTACTTCCTAGGATATACAACCCATGCAAGCTGGAGACGGCCATGATGCCCTCTCCCAAGGCTGTGACTTGCCTCAGCGGGCTTTGTAGCAGGATCCAGCGTATTATCTAGTGGACATGAGTTCACAAAGGGGAAGGACGGGGCGGATGTATCACTTCCTCAAATAGGAAATTTGTTCTAATTCATGTCTATAAAATATTTTCCCAACTGAAGTAAGCACAACATCAAGGTCTTCATGACCGGGCATTCTGCATTCGGTCTAGCCGCGGAGCCTCTCCGAACGGGTTAGCCAGCATCGGGCCATCCCAGTACGGTAAGGGCGCCCTGGTTGTGTTTCCTTGACCTACGAATGATAATTGGGAATGGGATGAAGGACACACAGTCATGCAAAGGTAGAAGCAATAGCAAGTTCTGGCGTAGTATATGTATTCACTTCCTGCTTATGTCCCGGGATGTCATGGACAAAAACAGCTAGTATACATTTAGTAACCCCGAACGAGGAGCTTAGTTAGTAGTTCTCGGTGACCCTAAAACATCGCCGAATCAGGTTAAATATAACGAACCAGTAAGGACCCCATAATTCCAAGATGGAGTAAATCATTGAGTCCGACCGAGCAGCGAAGTCAATATGTCCTTCTCCCAGTATCAAGATCAGGACAGTGCGGTCCAGTCAGCAGATCGGATTCCCTGGGATCCCAATTACTCAATCTTCCCCTCTAGAAAAGACCTGCCTCACTTACCTGGTGCTCCCAAAGATGCTGCGTGGGTATGGGGTGAGAATGATCAGGTAGGAAACTTCCTTCAGTCCGCGACATAACTTGAATACTTCGAACTAATTTATTCCCAGATTGGACGGTTGAACTTGTTGACACCCACACGTGTCAAAGATGCGGCCTCTTCAGAGATCAAGACTGGCCAAATGATCCGGCTAGAGTGGGTGATATTATATTACCTCTCCGCATAACCGCTCACCCCAGTTCATTGAGGGGTACTTACTTATACCTGGACTTCTATATATAGTCTTCCCCTAGGTGTACCCAACCCCCCTGCATTCGGTCGAGCAGGCTTTGTGCACAAGATCAAGCCCTTACAGGAGAACCTCATCTACGATGATCTATACGAGTCATTGAACACACAGAGCGGCACGCAGTGGGATGGATTCCGGCATGTACGTGAGAATCCCTTCTGTAGCAGTACTGTAGTATTTCAAGCTTTATTTCATTCCATTCTATTCCTTTCGTGAAGACCCCATCACTCAGTATTCTAACATAACTACTAGTTTTCACACCTTTCCTCGGGACTGTTCTACAACAGTGTACGTACATCATGTCCAACCACCCCCAATCAATTAAACCAATTCCACTAAACAAATTTTTAAAAAAAAAATAGACCACAGCCACCGACATCACAGGCTCGACCCCAACCCTAAACAACAGCATCCACCACTGGTCCGCCACCCACGGCGGCATCGCCGGCCGCTGCCTCCTGCTCGACTTCTACACCTACGCCCAGACCCATGGCCTCCCCTACGACCCCTACCAAGGCAGCGCCATTTCCTTCACCGACCTCCAGGCCTGCGGCTACAGCCAGGGGATCAACATCCTACCCGTCTCCCAGGGCGGGGACATCCCCGTGGGCACGATCCTGATGATCCGCTCGGGGTTCGTGGCCAGGTATAATCAGATGTCTCCGGAGAATAGGGCCGATATTCTTCGGAACGAGAAAACTGAGTATGCGGGGCTCAAGCAGGAGGCGGCGATGCTGGACTGGCTGCATGATTGCTATTTTGCGGCGGTGGGAGGGGATGCGCCGGCGTTCGAGCGCTGGCCGCCCCAGGAAGAGTATTTCCTGCATGAGTATGTGTTGGCATTGTGGGGGATGCCAATTGGGGAGATGTGGGATTTGGAGCGCGTGGTTGCGTTGTGTCGAGAGTTGGGTAGGTGGACTTTCTTCATGACGAGTGCGCCGGCCAATGTCGAAGGTGAGTAAGGTAGCGATATCGCTGGATTTGATGTGTTGGATGGAGGGTGTGTTTGCTAACGACTAAATGGGGTGTAGGTGGGGTTAGTTCGCAGGCGAATGCGATGGCTATTTTCTAAGGTTGGGTGGTGTTGAGGTATGCGGATAAGACAGGGAGTGGTGGATTGTTGGTGTGTGTAGTAGGGGGTTTTCCCTTCCTCTCTTGATAGCTCTCATAAAAAAATCCCATCCTTGACAGTAATACGACAAAGAACCAATCAAGTAAACAGACCAAGTACTCATCAAAATCAACCTACCATATCTTCTCTCCTACGGTATTTCCAAAACCCTACTTCCTCAACTTGAACTCAATCACCCCCATCGTCCCCGGCAATCGAATAACCCTCACCACCTCATATCGCCAATCCGCCTTCAAGATCAAATCCCGAAAATCCTGCTCACCCCGCTGCTTACTATTTGCAATCACCATCATCGCCACATCCACCTGACGAACGAGATGTTCCTCGCGCAGCGGCACCGTACCCCGAGTCGGCACAATGCTCTCATTGATCAGCACCGAGCACTCCGGGCGCGCCTCCAGCGCTGGTGCGAACTGCCGCAGCACGCGTACGCAGTCGTCGTCGCCCCAATTATGCAAACACGAGCGGATGTACCATGCCTTCACGTCCTCCGGGACGACCGGTTGTCGTTGGAAGAAGTCGTGCTGGCTGAATTCGACACGAGAGAGCAGACTCGGGTCGGCGCATTGCGAGTTTTCTGAAAACATGGTTTCCGAGATGTCTTGGACTGTGAAGGACCATGTTGGGAAATGCTGTTTGGATATTCAGTGTTTGGTTTGGTAGGCGGAGAGAGGAAGAAAGAGAGAGGAAGAAAGAGAGAAAGAGAAAGAGAGAGGGAGAAAGAGAGAGTATGAATGGGGGAGAAGATAGAGACACAACTGGAGAGATCAAGATCATACCTTGGCGAGTTCGAGGGCGACATGGCCGCTGCCCCCGCCCACGTCAATGAGTCGGCCTTCGGTGTGGCCACTAGTTTTGATCCATTCGACAAGGGCGGCGGAGGATCGATCCACTAAAAGGGTAATGTCAGAAGTATTGCAAGAGACAGCGAAGCATTGTGTGGGTGGCCACGGTACGTACACTTGGCAATCCCTTCCTGAGCGAGGGCGAATCGAACCCCCTTTTCCGGGTTGTTCTCATACCACTCGTAGAAAGGGGTGCCCCAGCTGTTTTAACATCATTAGTTTGGTTGTGGCTTTGAAATATTGATGTTTAAATTTTGGAGTGGTTGCATGCCCTACCGATATTTGAACGGCGACAGATGACTCTCTTCGGCCGCCGGATACTCCTTGAAGTAATTTGCTGTCTCGACGCTCGCTTTGTGCATCTCATCCAATCTACCATCCCGCCTTATCATCAGTAATAAAGCGGAAAAAGATCTCTTTACGAAGGGGTTCACTCTAGAGAGAAGTGGGGGAGGGGGACATACTGCATCTCCACCTGTGCCCGCAACTCGCGATCCCGGACCAACACCTCCGAAAAGGCAGTATGGCGAAACACCCCATCCTCGACCTCCTCCGCGATATTCAGCGTCGCCAGCAACCGTAGCATCCGCGCCAACTTGGCTGGATCCAGTCGCACGCGCTCGCCGAGCTCTGACAGTGTCATGCAACCGCCGCCGAGCGGGATCTGGTCATACACCCTGTGCTCAAGCATGACTTGCAGCGCGGCCAGGTCGAAGTGACTGCCGAAAACCTCGCGGTGGAAGGTCAGAGGTCCTGCAACAAGGCGGGTGAGGCTGGTGGCCGCATCCACAAGTTGGGCTTTGGTGGTGTTGAGGTCTAGCGTGGGGTCTTGCCAGAGGGGGTGGTCCGTGGAGCTGGTGAAGGTGGGTTCGGGGACATTGTGCGTGGTGAGTTTGGTGATGATGGCTTGGGTGAGGGTGTTGATGGTCGTGGCCAGGGAGAGGAGGGTTGGCGCTGGGGTGGTCATTGTGGATGAGTAGACTTCTTCTGATGGGGAGACTGTTGGATTCGAAGGCAGGAATGTGGATGGGGGAATGTCAACTACTATTCGGGGAATAATGGGTATTATAGATACTTCTGTTGCTTGTCTGAATGGGTGATGGGGATATTGCGAATTCGGGATATTGTCGAAGCGGTAATGGCCGAAGGGGGGTCGGATGGAGAGGGCAAGTTCGGCGAAAGCAACAGCAGGGATTTTACCTCTCATGCAGTTACGTAGTCGTGTTGTTGTACTGCTTTAGTGACAATCCTCTGGGAATCCATCAATGATTATTATAAGAGCAGGCTACCCGTCGTTGGCTACGGTTTTAGTTACACGGAGTATAATCTAGGTCCTTTCAGCTGCAGCTATCGTATCCAATCCGTTAGGATGCCCAACTATGATAGTCCCAGCAATATACAGCGACACTACCATCCCAGTGGCCCATCGGTGTTGCTAAAGGTACCATTTGGTCCATCCTTATCCAAAGTCGCGAGGTGAACCGTCTGCAGTGCACCACTCTCCGGGGTGCCCCAGCCGCGAAAACGGTTGAAGTTGGTGGCGCAGAATCCCGGGTCGCTCGCGTTGACTTTCCATCCCTTGGGCCCATAAAGATTGGCGTAATGGCAGGCGATCATATTGAGCGCCGCCTTGGAGCTGCGGTAGGCAGGGAATTGAAAGGCAGAAAATTGATCCTTGGGGTCCAACCGGCCGGTGCACGACCCCAAGGCTGAGGATACAAAGACAATCCGCGGCACAGCGGCCTTCTCCAGCAGAGGGATAAAGGCTTCCGTAGTGACGACTTGGCCCGTGGTATTGATGTCAAAGCCCGCTTGCCAGGTTTGGCGGAGGGAGGTGCCTTCGGGCAAGCGGCCCTCGGTGATCACACCGGCGTTGTTGATGAGGACGTCCAACCGACCGAACTGGTCTGCCACCTGTTTAGCAGCCGACTGAATGGAGGTGTCATCGGTCATGTCGATGATCACTCCGTCGACGCTCAATCCTTGGCTTTTGAGCTTGGCAATAGCTTCTTCACCCTTGGCGGCATCGCGGTAGCCCATGAGCACGTGGTAGCCCGGGTGTTCGGTAGCCAGCTTTTTGGCGACCTCGAAGCCGAGCCCCTGGTTGGCGCCGGTGATAAGGACGATTGTGCTGTCAGGAGAAGCCATTTTGTGCAGCCTAGATGAAGAAAGGGTTGAGGCAATGTGAGACAATCTTCTGAGGGCAGGAAAGGCGGGGAAGCGATTCATTGATTTGAGAAAGAATGTGGAAGAGGAGAAGGAGGGGAAGGGTCCTTCAAGGGGGGGCTGATAGGGCAAGCAAATTCCAACGACTCGGGGAAGGCGAAAAAGGGCGTCGGCGAGGACGGAGCTATCGGCATTAATGACGAGCTATGCACAGTTAAAACCCGGTACTTTACCATCAAACATCACATCAATACAAAGGAGATGTAATCAAGGCCCCCCATAATCCAATGCCCCGATTGCCTGACTCCGTTCCCGAACCCCCGCGGGCAACGTCAGCTTCAATCATCCAATTAGGACAAATACTGAGGTTAGCGCTTACTATCAATATTCCTATTATTGTAGGTTTCTGATCCACCAGCCCACTTGCTTTATTTAACAAAAAAGCTTATTGATAGTTAAAGCTTCCCAAGCTTCCGTGATCAGTATTCGAGCCTTTGATCCCTGATGGGTTCGGCTACTTTTGCTTCACAGAGTACCACGACAGCACCTTCTGCCCCTCCCTTGCCTATGTCTGTCTCTGATTACTCTTCCCGGCTATTTCTCTTTTAGTTCAGCCCGTCGCTTCCGTTTACCACAACAGAAGGCAGTGTCAAACTCCCCTGCACTTTCAGTCCCCTACTAGTACTTTTCTCTTCCTTTATCCGAGTCACGGGCCGGTCACTAGCCGCCACGCAGTCCAGAATTAGGGCACAATGCATTAGCGCTGAGGTGAGTTTGAAATTATCGTTAGCCAGAGCAAGATTATTCTCATGTCCTTAGTCTTGAAAAGAAGAGAGAAAATATAATCACGATACATAGAGTGGAAGAGGGCGTTTAAAGGCCGAATTATATTGTGACTCTAAATATTCCAGGAATTTATCTTATTAGTTGATAGTGCTCGACCCATGATTGAGAAGGTCGCTATACCTAGATGCTCTCGATATTATATTTACACATATATTATTTTTACGCGGGTAGTACGTCTATTCTATCAGTCCTCTAGCTTCACTCCAGGGCAGAAGTGTTGGAGGATACTATTAGCGTTTTAGGAGAAAGAAAGAAAGAAAGAAAGGAAAGATGAAAAAGCTTGACTCGTATGTCGACCTGTGCAAACTAGTACTCTGCATCATGTTTCCAAGAATAAATTGGCAGTATATACTCGTAACTCGTAGGACTGTCGACAAATTAGAAGTTCAATCTGAAGACATTTATCTCGCTCAATCTAAGTATCTACTCGGTATTCGCATAACTACCCCTCTGACACTCGACTCGGACCGAATATAATTTCCAATGATGACAATCTTCACATTCTGAGGTTCGGGTCTGGCACCGTACCGCCCACAAAACATCATATCATATCACCGATTGCAAAAGGGGACAAGACAAATTTGCGAGCCCCGTACACACAAGCAATGGAGCAAGCAAGCTAGACTGCAACGAGAGGAGAAGCCTTGGCCTTGCTGGCACTTTCCGTGCCACTCATACGGTCCCAGTGCTCCGGGCCCTTGAACTTGCCGTGACGCTTCCCAGCTGCACGTCGCTCGATCCACTCCTTGCTCGTGAGCTCTTCCTCCACAACTCCATCTGCTAATGGTGGAATAACCCCACTGCCAGGCAGGCGCTTCAGCACTACATCGTCGCGCGGTCTCGAGAAGTAGATAAGGGAGTACCGATCCACGAGCTTCTGAGTGCCCAAGGGAGGGTCCACGCGGTGCACATTCGAGCGAAAGAGGCCGTTTGTGAACTTCACCAACGCATCGCCCAGATTGATGATCGCATGACCGGGCCGTGGCTGTACCCACGGCCATTCGTCCCAGTCGTTCTCACCGTACTGACGGCCAGGCTCGACTACGCGCAGTCCCGACAGACGGTTGAAGAGAACCGTGATGCTGCCGAAGTCAGTGTGCTCACCCAGCGCGGTACGACGGTCCGTATCTGGTTGGGGAGGAACCTTTAGGAACCGGACGTGGTCTCCGGACTCGGCAGAAAGTCGGTGCAAGTCGGCGAATGTGCCCTTTGGGAGGTCGAGGAGCAATTCCAGGGCGGCCAGGATGGTCAAGGCAACTTCATGGCAGCTCTGCGTGAAGGTCTGAAGGGTCTCTTGACTCTCCAGCAAGAGAGGCGGCTTGGGGATACTGTAGCCGGGCTGCATGATATCGTCTTTCCCGAGCTGAGAGTAGAGATGCCATGTGAGACATTTGCTAATGTTCTCTGAATTTCCTGTCGACTTACATTCCATACTTCCATGCGGTCTCGAGTGCCGTTACGGTCAATGACGGTTCCGCCAGGGGCAGTGTATCTGGGTGTCCGGTGAGAGGTCTGAGAAGGTCACATGGAACTACAGGTGCACATACCCAAGAAACTGGCCCGTATCATAAGGACGTTTCTCCTCGGAAGGCAGATCAAAGACCTTCTTCTGCAGAGTGAAGGTCTCTTTGGCGAGGTCGAGTAGCTGCTGACCCTTCTCACTTTGGTCCAGCTTCAGGTAAAAGAACCCATAATGCTTGCAGGCCTCGAAGAGACGCCTTGCTTCGTCAGCATCAGGGCCGTCGGCCAGTTTGTCATAGTCGATGACTTCAAGTTGAGCTAGTTTGAGGCCCTCGGGAAATGGGGGCTCTTCTTGGAAAGCTTGTTTGTCCATATTATGTGACAGTCTTCAGAATGGCTTTAAAGATAAGGAATTAACAGCACCATCAGGGCATGCTATGATAGTTCGTTGTGGTTTCACTTGGATTGAACGTTTCTTAAAAGCGAGACGGATTGTCTGACATGACTTGATTCGCTATACACATCCGCAGGTCTAGGGGTTTGCCGTATGGGGCTTTGTCCGGTCAGATCCAGAGTAGGAAGGACCGAGGGCCGGTGAAATCGAAGACATTTTGTTCCATTTCATCGTACAATTTTGTGAAGGAATTGATATAGATCAGGATTCCCATACTTTTCTTGAAATGGAGAAAACAGGAAGAGATTTTCTTCTGTTTAAATAGTGCATTACGTTGCCATGTACCTTCTCCAAGTATGTATTGATATCGAGAACCAACAAAATTGCTTCGCGAACTAGTATAGATGGATAATATCTTTCAAACATTCCGTATAACTCTACTTATTGTGATTGAACCAAGGCATGAGTGTCTTTCGATCTAAGCCATCAAAAGGTTGTACTGGAGGCTGCAGTAACTGGTATTAAGACGGAGAGCCCAAGTGGGAGATTGAACAAATGACACTGTCTAATTAACGCAGTGATGTGGTTATTGAGTGCGAGTCCTTTCAGATACATATCATAGAAAATGTTTGCAGCCTCCAGGGCTGTTTAAAGCTGTTACATATTGCTTCTCATTCCGCGAAGACTAAGTTGGTAAACAAATTTCAAGTTCATCAAGAAGTTCTATTAAACTTCAAGCACTATCCCGCGACATATTGGTAGGTAGTATTGACTTTATGTTCAAGGCAGATCAAAATGCAAATATTTTGACTTCGGGTTGCAGTACTGCTGCAGTCCCTGTTTACCAAACTCAACTCCAAGGCCGCTTTTGTGCCCTTACAAGAGGCATCGCTCAGCACCAGGACTGGCTTTGGTGGCTGCAAGGAGGCATTATGAAGATGGTTGCTTTTGCTGTTTCAATTTCAACCTTTGCCATCATTTGCCAGACTCGGATCCAGTAGTCAATAATCCATCATTGAATTCAATTCAGACCTTTGCCTGCCGCACCTACCGGCTTTCCCGTCTCCAACATTGAGCAACTCCACTAATTCAGTGGCATGGTGCGCCACTTCTTCGGCAAATTGCTCCAACAAACGACTTCTCTCCTCCCATGTCGTCTTCTTTCATCCGGGGAAAGCTCGATTGGCGGCTAAAACGGCGTCGTCGAGATCTTGCTTCGTAGCTATGGGCGTCTCCCAAAATTTCTCATCACGATTGGATTATAGCCTGTGTACCGTGATGGAGCATCTCGGAGTCGACCATCGATTACTTTTGAAAAGTCCTGAATGTGATAACTTCATTGACGGAAGCCCTTTGTCGTGCTTTAGCCACCTCACTTGGTCCTCAAGGTGATTTTGGTGTTTGATGGAAGAATGATAGTATAATATATTTAATGGCTTTCAAGTCTATCTAGAACATCAAGGTAGTTGGTAATCGTTGAAGATCAATGCATATATATTTACTTTATAGTATCTTACGGTGCTCACTACGACTACTTAGTTCGAATAGTCTCATAGCCAACATTAACAGCAATGGATGATTATTTGTTAATAGTACATTAATTTGACCACTACCATTCTCGCACTCCAGTACCGTTGTCGGCTAAACCTAGTGAGGCTCGGGCCGCGCAGAAAGGGAAAGTCCGATCACATTTTGTTCAACTAGTTTCTGCACTATTATCTTATTCTGAAATTATGCCAATTTATGCCCTGACCCGTTAACCCAAGTCCCCAGGAATAAGTATGGTCGGGTAGCACACCACATTGTGAGGAGTTACACTACGGTTTTGTTAACAATATTAACCCAAATTACTTATCACTATCAATACATGTCGATTGGAAGCGTAGACAAGAGTGCCTGAGAGTCTAATATTATGGAAAGGTTCTGTCATGTCTTCTCTCTCTGCATCAAGGGTGTATGAACAGCAAGTGACACAAAAAGAGAGGCCTGGCAAAGAAATCAATCATTGGTTTCCTTGTCACATTCTAGAACTACCAGTGAGCCCAAATGTTGAAGTCGCATCCCAAGGAAGGGCCTCAAACGGCTCCCGAGGTAGCTGTGCGCTCACTGATTCGAAGAAACTGCTTGGCAAAGACCATAATGGCCAGGTTATTCGCCTCCCAAGGATTATTGCGATCTACGATGTCAATCGTAAAGTCACGGAACAGCTGCACTTCAAGTCAGACCGACTGAAATCCCTGGGTGAAGGGCATGCAGGAGAGAATGGCCCGAGATAAGCAGGACCGACCACGTACCTGGCAGCACAGTTTCTGAGTCTCCAGCTGAGCGATGTTCTTCCCCAAACATACGCGCGACCCATACCCAAAACTCATAAGATACTTGTCCATCTCCTTTGATCGCGCCTCATCCTCCAACCATCGCCCAGGCCGGAACAAGTGCGCATCGTGGCCATAGATCTTCGTGTCACGATGAACCACGTATGGGTTGGCGCCCATTTCCGTTCCGCCGGGGATATACGTATCATTCAGCACCTTGATCCCATCCTTGGCTATGTAGCGGGGCATGATCATGGGGGTGGAAGGCGAGAAGCGCAAGGTTTCCTTGACACAGGCCATGAAGTAGGGCATCGCATTGGTTTCGTCATATTTGACCACTGGGTTCGACAGCAGGCCTTTTCGCTCGTGCGTAGTAATCTCTTCCATCAGGGAGTGGTAGATCTGTGGGTTTTGCACTACATAGTTCACGAAGGGGCAGATGAAGGCGGAGGTAGTATCCGACGCGGCGACCATGAGCACAAAGCATTCGGTCTTGATCTCTTCGATGGTCATGAGGCTGCCATCCTCGTTGCGGGCTTTGAGCAGACTATGCTCATTCGAAGTAGGATAACAGATGGTTAGCGCCTTCATGAGCCGAGAAGGCTGGGAGATGATGGGCACCTACTTGGAGAGGAAATCATCGTATCCTTCGGCGAATCGGTCTTTAAGTCGATGCTCAAGCATGTCATCTCGAAACTGGTTGCACCTCATTAGCAAGGTAAAACTATGTTTTTTGCATGCGCCCAATTTCCTCGTGCCCCTCTCACCTTCATGATCTGCCCCGTCCCAGTACTATCCCCCGGCTTCGGCATCAGATACCTTTTGAACAAGGGGTTCTGAAAAATCGGATTAGCCAGCCACGGCAACGCCGCGATGAAACCCGCCAACGGCGCCATATCGTGGAAATGATGGATTAGCCCTCCAATGTCGCGCGTCTCCCGCACAAAGCCGACCGGAGAGCCGAACGCCAGCTGCGTCACCAGGTCGTAGACGAACCACTGCGCATACTCGGCGAAATCCAGCGTGTTGCCGTTTTTGGCATGCTTGGTGCGTAGGGTGGAACAGAACTCAAGAATGCGAACATCCATGTCGGACTCCAGGCGGCGTAGGTTGGACATAGAAAATGACGGAGCGATGCGTTTGCGCTTGGCCGCATGGTCCTCGTGTTTGAGGGTTTGGAATGGTGGCGGGATGTCGCCAAGGATGCCAGTGCTGTAGAACTCGGTCTTATCGGCGCGACGATGGTAGACCACGGGGAGGAGGAGAGGGTCGCTGAAGGCCAGGAGATTGGGCGCTACTCGGACGATAGGGCCTGTTCGTTGAGGCAGGTTAGTGACACTGAGCACTGTACTACATTGTGGTAGTTGTAGTTTCAGACCATATTTCTTGTGCATTTCAATACCACGAGTGTGAGCATCCTTTTGCGCCACAATGTACAGCTTATAGAAATCCGTGAGACTTCCCCAGATCGGACCAGGAAAGTTACGAAGAGGGTGAAAGTAGCGATTGTACATCAAGCGAAGAACAACATAGGATCCGAATAGAGTGAAAAGGATCCTTGAGGCGTCACATAGGCCGATCTGGCTGATCTGGCCCAGAGAAAAATAGTCCTGCATCCTGAGCGCTACCATGGTAGTGTCTGCGAGCAAAACATGTAGTCTCTTACTCTCAGGTACTAACGATGAGATGTCTCCATGATATATTGCCCTTTGATTTGTGCCGGCCATCGTCCCATTACGGAAAGCCCCGACGACGGATTAGTGCATGCCGATCTGCAGGGCTATACTAGACATCATCCTGCGGTTGGTTGCGTGCAAACTTCTACTCTGTTCAGCTCTGATCCCAACTTACATACTTAGAATGGAAAACAACAAACTCCGTGACGCACTGTCAGTCAAGCGCTTGACTTGTCATACATACGAGAAATATTTCGAGTCGGCGTACGCAAATGGACAGGGTGCTAATCTCCCGATCGTCGAAAGGCAAATAACCCAAGCTGACCAGCTCTATAGCGGCCCACGGCGGCTTCATCGCGGCACTGTTTGCAGAGGCAGCACGAGTGCATTTAAGCGAGTGGGATGTTTGTAACCCTTTGACCCTACAAAATCTGCATGTGGAGTATGTGCGGCGCGTTGCTATCCATACAACTGGGCTCTTTGAAGTAGAAGAAATACAAAAGGGGACCCTTACCAGCCTACTTCATATACGACTAGTACAGGATGGCCAAGTCCGAGCATTGTGCTACGCACGGTACGACAATACAGATGTATAAACGAGGAGATGCTAATGTTAGACAAAACCAGATATGGTCCTTGGATTAAAACTCCGGCGATTGCTCTAGACCCCGAAATTGAGCGATGGCGAGCCGAGCCAGTTCCTCGAATGGTCATCGACGACGAAGAGGGTGTTCAGGATGAATCGTGGATTCGGTGTAGAATCAGCCACGACCCATACTCACGCGTTAGAACCCATTTCGACTACATTCTTCCGCGAGATTCTCGACTTGGCTCGACCAAGGTCGTGGAATGGATCGGTCCTCGGATTGCTCACGACCGTTTGACAAATGAATGTATTCCGATGATTAGTGACCTTTGGCCGCAGATTCCGGATAATTTCAAAGCGGAACGAGGGGAGTCGTCGCCCTATAGTGCGGTTGGAATGGTGAACCGGATGATAGAGGTGGAGGACAAAAAGGTCGGCATGATGTTGACTAAAGAGGACGCAGACACGTGGGTGACTGCTTGGTATCCCACAATGACACTAGAACTACAGCTGCACAAGCCATTGCCAGCCGAAGGCGTTAGATGGTTATTTCAAGAGGCCCGTTCCCAGCAGCTTACATCAAAGAAAATGGATGTTGAGCTTCGGATTAGCGATAATGAGGGTGATTTGGTGGCGATAGGCCAGTTATCGGTGCTCGTTGTACCTAAGGAGAGAAACGGCGGACGGACAGAGAAGATATAAGAAATATATAGATACGGATATTATATGTTGTCACCATGATCTAATTTTACCCATCACTCTCGTAAACCTAACTCAACTTCTCTGAGAAAGTAATGGCTCTGACAAAGATGTCCTGACTTAGAGCTTCGAGGATCTCCCAGCCTCCGCTGCCATCTTTCTGAGCTCCCTTCTGAGTATCTTTCCACTACCACTTTTTGGAATAGCGGACACATATACCACCCCGCCCCTGAGTTGCTTATGAGCGGCTAATCGAGAGCTCACAAAGCTCAGGATCTCTGATCCAGGGATTTGGGCGCGATCCGCAACCACGTATGCCCGCGGCAACTCGTTTCCAGACTCCGAATCGGTCACACCAACCACCGCCGCATCCTGGATCAAAGGGTGGGACAATAGCAGACCCTCAATCTCAGCGGGTGCGACTTGAAGACCCTTGTACTTGATGAGCTCCTATACCGAGCACGAGAGTCAGTAGAGATAATACTTCGCTGGTTGTAACGGTCAACCTACCTTCTTCCGATCAACAATATACAACAGTTGTCCTCGTTGTTGGCCGATATCGCCAGTCTTGTACCAAGCACCGTCCTGGGTAAAGCTGTTTTGAGTGGCTTCTGGATTTTCGTGGTAGCCTTGCATTACAGTTGGTCCGGAGATTAATAGCTCTCCTTCTTCGTCATCGCCCACGTCCCTCTCGTCATCGTCCACGATACGGAGACGGCAGTTGGGCATTAGGGCTCCCACACTGCCAGAGTTGTCGTTCAAGCTGCCGTCCCAGGGGAGCATTGTCACGCCTCCGGAGGTTTCCGTTAGCCCCCAAGTTTGTGTTATGAGGCATCCGAGACGTTTCTCAGCTGCTGCTTGCAACTGTGGCCCCAGAGGTGCGGCCCCTGACAAGGCGCGTTGTAGACTTTGGAACTGGTCCGTGACGTGAGGCGACTTCGCGATCATGAGATAGATCGGCGGGACTGTGAAGAACTCGGTGATCTGGTACCTTTTGTTGTATTCGAGGAATTTCGCAAAGTCAAACCTCCGCATCCAGTACACCTTAACACCAGAGATGGCGGCGATGGTGAAATAACCCTGACAGCCACCGATATGAGCTGTGGGTAAATGTGCCAGCGTCGTACCGCGATAGACGTAGCTAGGCTCGCTGTGCCGTCTCTGAATAATGTATTCTCGATCTAGCATGGACGGAAGAAGTGAGGAGGAGACCAGATTCTGGTGAGACAATCGCACCCCTATTTGCCAGAAGAATAAGTGAGCCCTTGAACCGGTCTTTCAAATTAACGATATAGGGTGGATCGACGCTCGTGAACGTACCCTTCGGAAGCCCGGTCGTTCCGCTGCTGTACAGCAGACATATCGTCCGATTCTTAAGGGTTTCAGGATCTTCAATTCGTTCCCAATCCAGCCTTTGGTCTGAACTCCAAGGTTCTTGGAGGTAATTGCGATCAGTGGCTGCACATCTGAGTTCTCTCCGATGTCCCATGCTCTGCAATATTAGCACGCGACTCAAGGAGATACCACAATCCTTAGCGGCAGCAATGGCAACATCAAAGCAGTCTTCGCTGGCGAGCACAATATTACTCTTTGCCCGCTTGATCTGAGCAGCTAACTCCGATGCAGTACAGGTAAACGATGCGGAAGAATAAACGCCCCCGGCAGCGATGACTCCATAGAACAGCACTGGCAACATGACCTGTCCGGAGGAAATGACGGTTACCACATCCGTGGATGGTGTACGGCCGACTCCAAAGTCATGTCGGAGATGGTATGCGACGCGCTTGGTAAGGATTCGTGCCTGGCCCTTTGTGATCTGGTTGCTTGGATCGTCCGCCTCGGCATGGAGGATGGTGTCTTCCTCGGTCCAGGAAATGGGAGAGTCTGCGTATCTCAGCAAAAAGGAAATCTCACTTCTCCGATGATCATCATTGTTGTGTTCATACCAAATATCACCGACAACAAATCGAGTTGCGGGAGGTTGTAATCCTTCCGGGGCAAATACACGGCCATGTTACGCTTTTGTTTTGCCTCTCGTTGTTGTATAGTCAAGGTACAAGTGTGTAGACGCATTCGCAGGGACAAATGATCATATAGCCCCCATGAATATGAATGAGTAGTCTTACATGCAGCTGGTGTCTCAGCCCCTGGCCGATGCACCAACTGAGTGACCACCACAATCAATGCCGGCCCTAATGGTCATTCCTATTTCGGCCAGCCCCGAACTCCCCAGGATGCAACTAAACCCCAAATCTTAAACTCCGAAGCCTCGCCCCCTCTATTGTGCCTTGTTTCAGCTGTCACGTCTCAGTGGCAAACTACAGGCTTCAAGCTTCTAGCGTGTTTCAGAGAAGGGAGCTGATGGTGGGAGCCTAATCAATGTTGGTGATTGACCATGTGCACCGGCGCTCCCTAACTCCTGTTCATGACCGGAAGAACATGTCAGATAAGCTGGTAGATTACCTCGACTGGAATAATACTAAGGACTCAAAATAGAAGTCGTAAGCAGTCGTAGACGTATTATAAGATAAAAGAATGCGATCGGGGGTACTTGTACATTGAACTATGTTGTCCCATCTTCTTGAAAAGGTTCCGGTGCCAGTGTGTCAAAACCTAGCATTTTCCAACCATGGCTCTGAATCCGACAAGAGAGAGTCCCAATATTGATCCTCAGTCGGACGAAAATAGCATCGCTCTAGAAGCAAAAAGGGGTATATCCACTCCAACCGACGAAGCGACACCGTCCTCGCAAGCAGCGTCGAGTGCATACCTTGTACCCAACGAGTCTAGCAGGCACATTCCGGAGTTCTGCGTGGACTTCTGCGATGACGACCCCGAGAACCCCAAAAACTGGAAGACTTGGTACCAGGTCTGCGCGATCATGGCCATAACATACACTGCATGGGCCACGGTCCTCTATTCGACGTGCTACTCCAGCGGCATCACGGGGATGATGGCCGAGCTGGGTATTGCCAGCGAAACGGTCGCCAACCTGGGTATTTCGCTCTATCTGATTGGGTGGTCGGTCGGAGCGCTTGTTCTCGCTCCATTGAGTGAGACATTTGGACGGCGACCGGTGTACTTTGTTTCCTTACTGGTCTACGTAGGCCTAATTCCAGCCGCTGCTATGGCCGACTCGTTTGCTGTCGTCCTGGTGGCACGCGTCTTAGGGTGAGTCCTGTGTTTCCAGTTTGCAGGATTAGGAGAGCTTATGTCGATCGGTTAGGTCTATTTTCGGTGGTGTGATGATCACCCTTGCGCCGGGGAGCCTGGTCGATATCGTGCCCAGTTCACGACTGGCGCTGGCAATGTCAATATATTCCATTGGTCCATTGAATGGGCCAGTAACTGGACCGATTATAGTAAGATATTCCCACGTAAGCACAGGGAACAAGGTGCTAACAAGCAGATTGTTTGTTCAGGGTGGATTTGTCTACGAGCGCTGGGGCTGGCGAGGCATCAACTGGTTCATCATGATCATTTCCGGGGTGGGATGGCTACTGATGAGCTGCATCAAAGAGACGTACCAGCCCATCATCCTGCGTCGACGCGCAGCCGCTAAGCGTCAGTCCACCGGTGATCTACGCTGGTGGTCGAAGCACGATGAGACAATTCCCCTTCAGCAACGCCTCCCCACGGCTATTTGGCGGCCCATCCAACTGTGCATCACCGAACCCGTGCTGTGGTTCTGGAATTTGTACATTGCCGTCATCTACGCCGTCCTCTACCTCTGTTTCATCGCCTATCCCATCGTCTTCTCCGACCTCCGGCACTGGTCCCCCGAGATCTCCGGCCTTGCCTTCGTGGGAGTGCTGATCGGCAATACGCTGACGGTCTTATGTGAGCCCATGCTGCGGCGACTGATAAATCGACATCCAGTCGATGCGCGAACAGGCAAACGCGCCCCGGAGTCAGCCGTCTCCGTCATCATCATCGCTGCCGTGCTGGCTCCAGTCGGGCAATTGATCTTCGCGCTGACCTCACTTCCCACCTCGATTCCCTGGATCGCGTCTATCATCGGTGGTGTCCTCTTCGGGTTTGGAAATACGGTCATCTTCACCTACGGCACGAACTATGTGGCGGCCTCATATGGGATGTTTGCCTCGTCGGCTCTGGTGTCCAATGTCGTCTGCCGGTCGCTCCTGGCGGCAGGCTTGGTCGAAGCCGGCGAGCGATTCTACCACGCGCTGAGTCCACGCTTGGCCGGGATTGTTCTGGCTGCCTTGGAATTTGGGCTGATCCCAATCCCGGTGTTGTTCTATATCTGGGGGCACAAGGTGCGGGTTCGGAGTCGGGCGCTGAAGAGATTGACTACAGAGTCTGCATAAGCCACATCATCTGTCTATGAGTTTGCTTGTTTCTGTAATATAACAGCTAGTCTCTAGATGGCCTAGACTTTCCGCGAAATCTGGTAGTATTTTGAGACATTTGTCTCCACGATTTCTCTAACTGTGTGGCATCTTCGAAGATCACCTATCTAAACGCATCACACGTCCTACACGAAAGCACTCATTCCTCCCTCTTAGCATATTCCCCAGCCAAATCGCCCAAATCCTCCGTCATCTGCATCCCATTAACCGAATACGGCAAGCAGTCCAACAAAATAAACACCACGCGAGCGGGCTTCGTATCGGACACATTCCGCCACTTGTGCATCGTAGCGCGCTGCACCGAGATATCGCCCGGTTTCATGATCTTGGACTCGCCACTGTCCAGAGTAATCTCCACCTCGCCCTCGATTACGATGCCATAGTCCAGGGAGACAGCGCGGTGCATGGGCGATTCGACGCCGGGGGCAAAGTCAATGAGACGGACGACTGAGCCGTTGGGGATGTGCAGGGGAGGCTATTCCGGGATTTTAGAAAAGGAAGTGGTTAAATGAGACTGGGGATGAGGGGAGAAGGGGATACCTCGTTTTCTTTGGCGAACTTGACGTCCGCGTCATCGGTCATGTCTACTGGGTTGCCCTTGGTGCTGTAGATGATGTTGGCTACGCCCTTGCCGCGGACCATGATCTTGTGGTGGTCACCGTGGTCCTCGGTGATGAAGACGCCTTTGCCCTCGGAATTGTGGGACGTGATGAGCCGCTTTGAGGCGCGGAGGCCGTCAGCTGGGAATTGGGTGATAGGGCCGGTGTCTTCCATGGTGGTTTGTAGTGGTAGTGGTAGTAATAGTAGTAGTGGTTGACAGAGATACGGACGCAGAGAGAGAAGATAGCAAGGATGCGTTGATGGGACTAATGGAGAAACACGATACTGATACTATCGAGGTACTATATATGTTTATAGACACTGACTTCAAGTCTGCAGCTGCAGAGTAGCCCCTCCATCGACCATCCAGCCTGCCCCGGTGACGAAACTCGCCCGCGGACTACTCATGAACATCAGCACATCGGAGACTTCCTCCTTCGTCGCAATCCGACCCATCGGCACCACTCGACTCATCACAAATGCCAAATTCGGATCGCCCGCCACCGCTCGCTCGATCATCGGAGTTTCCACCCACGAGGGGCAGATCGAATTGACTCGGATCCCGTATGGAGCTAAATCCAGGGCTGGTTTTAATTTTCTCACCGTCAGTTTCCTAAATGAGGAAGAGAGAAAGAATTGAGCGTGGGACGCACCGGCATTGCGAGTAATTCCCATCACCGCATGTTTGGAGGCCGTATACTGAACGATATTGGGCGTCGCCACATACGAATTACTCGATCCCAGATTGATGATCACGCCCCGACCACAGCTCCGGGCGGGAGTGGACTTACGCAACGAGAAGTGCCGAGCTTCTTGCTGCTTCATCTGGGCGCTCACGGCGCGGACGCAGAGTAACGTGCCTTTGACGTTGACGTCCATGAAGCGCTCGAACTCTCGCACTGACGCCTTGGAAATCTCTGCTGGCTGCTCGACACCAACCTAGAAGGGTTAAACGAATAGTCAGCTGAAGATAGCAAAGATTATGCTGTATATATTCTTGGGATGACGGGCGTCATTTGTCACTCACCCCTGCGCTGTTGACGGAGTAGTCAATGCGGCCAAAGGCCATGACGACTGTGTCAACCATCTCCTGGACACTGTCTGGATCACGGACATTAACCTCAATGGTCAATGCTCGGTAGTCGGGGTTCGTAGCGAGTAATTTGCTTTCTTGGGCGGCGGCTGTCGCTGCGACGGGATCCAGATCGGCGAATGCCACACCGGCTGCGCCTTCAATGGCATAGGCAATGGCACAGTCGCGGCCAATGCCACTACCTATTAGTGATAGCGGTATATGTATCAGTTGTTGAACACTATGTATCTGTGTATTTGCTTGTCAGCGCCTACCTGCTCCCGTCACGAGTGCAAATCCGTCAATGTTCATCTTTGCCAAATGATTACTGATTCTGTTCTGGGTGGAAGGTGTACGAATGTTTACAGTTATACGATGAGCAGAGTATCAGGACTAGATATAACTATGGCGATGTATAAACATGTTCAGTGAAGTCATAAAGAAGATCTAGCTGTCTCCGACGAAATTCAATATCGGGGTTCGCTCCTTTAAGAACCGGCCCGAGCTAAGGTCCTACCACGATCTCACAAGCCCGTGCTCGAGTTCCACTACATCCTTACTATTCCTGGATGTATAGCAGAGCCTATATTGCCCCCTGCAACAGTATTTGGCATTCGGGTGTCAAAATTATTGCCAATGTTCACGAAAGATTCCCCGATCAGACATCTCCCTTCACACCTCGGACAGCATTCGCCAATTTTTCGAAATTGAACATATGATAGAAAAGCCAATCCTGTTGAGTGGGCGTTAGCTATGAGATCGACGGATTGCAAGGGATCCTACCCAGAATGTGCGCGGCAGCAACATGTCGCACCACCGCACAATTCCCGTCTGCGCGCCGTACCACACCCAAGCTGCTGGCGAGGGCTTGAGCAGTTGGTCGACCACACCCCGGGCATACTGTTCCGGGGTAATGGTTTCTGCAGATAAAGTATATGAGCAAGTGATGGAGAGAAAACCGGGGTCTTGTGAAACCTACTGGGTGTACGATAAATGTGCTTCTGAAAGTCTTCCGCTAGAACACTATAGATTGACTCTGCAATGTTGGAGTCAGTGGTAAGTTTAGGCGCGAAGCAGGACTTCGAAACCTACCTTCTGGGAGCTTTCGCTGGTTGGAACGATCAGTGCGCAAGACATTGGTCGAGACTTCTCCCGATATGATATTTACAACTCGGACACCGAAAGGCTTGAGTTCCGCGCGCAGGGTATTGCCGTAATGATGAAGCGCTGCTTTGCTGGCGTTATAGCTGGCTGGGTTGGAGTTAAATCTCAGTAAGCTACAGGATTAGTTGAAGAAATGGAGCTCACCTCCATAGACGTAGGGCACAATTCCCCCGACCGAACCGATGTTGACAACGAGGCCTTTGGCTTGCACAAGAAGAGGATGGAGATGATGGACCATGCGCATTGGCCCGAAGACGTTCACTCGGAACATCTTTTCAACTTCGTCAACCTGGGTATCAGTTGCTGTCATCGTATAACCTGCTCGGCGCTTCCGTCAGTTGGAGCCACTCTATCGAACTTCTAACCAGGTAATGACTTACATATTCCTGCGTTGTTGATGAGGATGGAAAGGCGCCCATCAAGTCGTTTCTCCACTAGTCTCTTCAAGGCAGTTACGTCTTCTTCACTGGTAACATCGCACCGTACCACCTCAATGTCGAGGGCTTCGAGATGGCTGGGGTCTTCAAAGGACAGGAGTGTCGAGATGACGTGGAACCCTGGCAATCGTCAGGATGCTATCTCTACTCATGCATGAATCATGCGTGTGTCTAACCTCGACGTTTCAATTCGACAGACAGCGCGTGGCCGATACCTCCACTTCCACATCCTGTAATCACTGCACCATTAATATGGTTCATCCTTTCGTAGAAAACTGGTATCAAAGCAATAGGGCGTGTGTCGAGCGAGGAACGTCCACAGAAGAGTCACTCAAACAGGTGCAACCATTGATCGAGGTAGGTAAAGAAAGAAGAGGCCATAATCGCACAAGACTATCATCCAACGTAATAGCCATCTACCTCCGGAGCAGGAGAGACCGGCACTCATAGCCCTATAGTATTTCGGGGCTTTCCCAAAGGAGCTCCTCCGTCAGCCCTTCCGGTCTATCCACTGTCATTACGGGGCACCATCATATATGGTCATGATGAAGGAGATCAAATCGACAATTGAATTTCAACATTGTTTATGATTCCGGCATTTAGCAGACTTTTCATTGTCTAAGGTTCTCTACAATGGCTCCATCTAGCTCCTCAATTCCCTCTTCCGTTCCTTCGTCGCCTTCTGTCTTCACTGCAAATGGCACAGGCCCACATAGAGATACCGCTCGTGGCCAGCATGAACCAATTGCCATCGTTGGAATGGGTTCGAACTCCCCCTTACCTCGGTGTACATAATATTTCAGTGCTAATACTAAAGTTTGCCAGGCTGTCGCTTGCCCGGCGACGTGAATTCGCCTTCCCGTCTTTGGGACTTCCTCAAGGAAGGAAAATCAGGACAATGCAAGATCCCTTCAAGCCGATTCAACGTTGATGCTTTCTACCACCCCAAAGGTGTGGATCGACCTGGATCCATGCACACCACGGGTGGTTATTTTCTCCAGGAGGATCCTCGCGCCTTCGACCCGGACTTCTTCGGCATCAGCCCTATCGAGGCGACCTACATGGACCCGCAGCAACGAAAGCTGCTGGAAGTCGTGTTCGAGGCGTTTGAGAGTGCCGGGGCCAGTCTCGATGAGGTGTCGGGCTCTAACGTAGGATGTTACGTCGGCAACTTCACCGTTGACTTTCAGGTGATGCAGACGAGGGACCCAGAGTATTTGCATCGGTATAGTGCGACGGGTATGGGGACGACGATTCTTGCGAATCGCATCAGTCATACGTTTAACCTGAAGGGGCCGAGGTATGTATATCCCAATGAAGCTACCAAAGGGGGATTGAGCCCGTGCGCTGATTCATATGGAATGCAGTTTCGTTCTCGATACCGCCTGCTCATCGTCTCTGTACTGCCTGCATGTAGCCTGCGCCGCCCTGGAGAATGGTGAGTGCGACAGTGCCGTTGTGGCGGGTGCGAATCTGATTCAGTCGCCTGAACAACATCTCGGGACAATGAAGGCCGGTGTGCTGTCGGGCACTTCGACGTGTCATACCTTCTCCGACGAGGCAGACGGATATGGGAGAGCAGAGGGCATTGGGTGTATCTACTTGAAGCGTCTTTCCGATGCAATCAAGGATAATGACCCCATCCGAGCTATTATCCGGGGAACTGCAGTAAATTCGTATGTTTTCCCTTTCAACCTATCAACAAACGAAAACCAGCTAACATGAGAATAGAAATGGTCGGACATCAGGAATCACCCTCCCATCCGCAGAAGGCCAGGAAGCTGTGATCCGCAAAGCGTACGAAAAAGCAGCCCTGGATTTCTCCCAGACAATGTACGTCGAATGCCACGGTACAGGAACGCCCGTGGGCGATCCCATCGAGGCCGAAGGGTTATCGAAAATCTTCCACAGCCGGACTGGTCAGCCCTTGCTCATCGGGTCTGTTAAATCCAATCTTGGCCACAGCGAAGCAGCAAGTGGTATCTCTGGCATAATAAAAACGGTGCTCGCCCTGGAACATGAAAGCATCCCGGCGTCCATCGGAGTCAACCAGATTAACCCCAAGATCAAATGTGAGGAGTGGAACATCGACATCGTGAAGAAGATGACTCCCTGGCCTTTGACTGAGACCTCTTCGACACGCCGAGCCGGCGTGAACTCCTTCGGTTACGGCGGGGCCAACGCCCATGCTATCATTGAATCTGCTGGGCCCTACGCCGTCCCAATGCAGCAACAGCATCGTCTCAATCATATTGCACGTTCCAAAGTCCTCATTCCCATCTCGGCAGGTTCGGAGGCGTCTTTGACCACCCGCGTTGACCAGCTGCACCAGTATGTGCTGTCCCAGCATCCAGACTTGACCAATTTTCTCTACACCCTGGGTTCGCGCCGGTCGCATTTGCCCCATCGGGCATTCCTGGTCTCCGATACGAGTCTCATAAATGGCCTTGTCAGCGAGGACCTCGTCACCGGCCGTCCCAGTTCTTCAGCTAACGGTCAGTACGCATTTGTGTTCACCGGCCAAGGGGCACAGTGGCCGCAAATGGGAAAGCACTTGATCGAAGAGTATCCCGAGTTTTCGAACGC